CAGGTCTTATCACCCCCATTTGGCAGATGAGAAGCTCAAAAAGGCGAAGCGACATGTCCAATGTGCCAGAGTCAGTGGCGGGAGGGGACGTCCAAGTTCACATCCAGACCCCTTTCCAGCCCTTAGGGTTCTCTGGTTGCCTTAGATGGAGATCGGGCAGGAAGCGGGGGATGAGGGGTGCTCTGTTCCAGCCCCAGCAGGGCAGCACGGAAAGGGGCACCCACAGGCCATTCTTAAGCTTCTGGACCTATTCATTGTCCAGACTGTCCAGGAAACTATGTCGGTGATCAACTACCCATGAGTTCCCCCATCAAACTTAGACTGAGCTGAGGAGGGAACAAAAGGACCGATTCTACTTCTGTTCTTTTCTGACTGCAGTTATTAAAAGAGCTTAGTCAAAAGACAGTCAGAAAGAGGAAAACAAGAGAGGCACCAAGTCTCCAACTAGGAGTTTGTTAAATCACACATACTCACACACACATCTTTAATAGGTCATTAGTCTTCTTGGCTCATCAGTACGAGCGTAAAGAAAAAGAACCCAAACAGGACTTTAACCCAAGCACTGAGGTGTTAAAACTTTTGACTTCTGGGAGACAGCTGAGAGGTATCGCCAAACTGGGTCCATATTCCAGCTCAATGAACCCCGAGCCGGAAGCTCCTGCCTGGAGGAGACTTTGTGTGTGTTCCCCGCAGCTCAGGGCTGTCTGAGCCTCCCTCCGAGCTGTTAGTATTGTCCCCATCCCTGCCTGTGTATGTTTACCATTCAGATGTGTTCCTCATCACTCCAAAGGGAAGATAAACACTCTTAAAATAGAAAAGCAAGGCAGTGCACTGTGTTTGATTTCTGATCAGAGTAGCTCCTAAATGTTACTGTGCTTTTTAGGTAAATCTAGCTAGCATTGGGTAAACTCCTAAAGCACATAATACTAGCGCCTTCACAGGACACACCACGCCGGATGTGTAGCTGCTTTTCTTCCACTGAGAACCAGTGTCCCTGTGGGACGGGCCACGTGCAGAGCTGTGTCAGGCAGTGAGCAGCCTGGCCCTGAGCTAAAACGCCCATCCCTGCAGACTTCACCTTGACTCGAACTTGGTCCTTACCCGGCTCTACTTCTCCCCTCCACAAAACAAACAAACAAACAAAAAAAAACCCTGGTAAAATATCTGCTTCTCATTTTCACAGCCTACAGTGCTCTATGCCTCATGTTTATCTGTTCATGAGCACCTAAAACAGAGGTTCATCATCTATAAAAACATTTTAGTATAACTGAGTAACTCTTTCCTAAGATAGACTGGCTTTTTTATCTTTCATACAGTTCAACTTTAAATTGCATAATCCATGACTATACTCTTTTAAAAACTGGAACAGCCCTTTCACCCCTCCACAAACCCCGGCCCCTCTTCCCCATCGCCCCACATTTACGTTAAGGTACCTGAGCCAGGACTTCAGTGTTTGACTCTCCATACACCCCCACCCCTTAAATAAATTGATAAAATCTTTAAAAAAGGAAGCAGTGCAGGTGAATATGGTACTTGGGACCTCTCACAACCACATCAAAATCATAGCTTAAGAGCAGTCATCATAGCTGAATGGAAGGCCTACATAAGGATACAAAGAAGCCACACGGATACTGGCAGGAGGAGATGTGAAATGAGCTGATCTCACCCCCATGTGTGGAGGGTGAAAATTGGGAGGGAAATCTTGTCTGCAAAGGTTTCTCCTGAGGAGTGAGGGTCCCAGCCCCACACCAGGCCCTCCAGCCCAGGATCCCAGTGTCAGGAAGAGAAGTCCCCACAACTTCTGGCTGTAAAAGCCAGCAGAGGTTGTGGCTGAGTGAGACCAAGGGGCGCCGGAGTCCCAAGTGTTCCTCTTAAAGGGCCCATGCATGAACCTACTCAGCCTCCCTCGCTCTGAGCTCCAGCACTGGGGCAGCGGCTTGAAAGGCATCAGGGACGTACAGGGAGGAACTGAAGTGTCTGGAATCAAGGCAAGAGCTGAAGGGCAGCTTTCTGCCGGGCAGAAATGCTGGCAGACACCAACCAGTGTTTCTTTTGTGAGACACCCCCCTCCCCACACCCTTTCCCCACAGACGTGGCAGGCAGATGCCAGCTCTGAATCTCCATCAGCCTGGCTCACGCCAGTCACCCACCCTGGTGATTCCGAGACCCTGACCCACCCAACTTGAAGGCTCACGCAAGCTGTGTAGTGGCTTTTCCACATGAACAGCCTAACTTGGCTCTCAAAAAAGCAGCATCTGGCCTTGGTGTGCCCCCTACTTCTCTCACAAAGTGGCTCCAGGCCCAGCAGCAGCAGCAGCAGCAGCAGCAGCAGCCGGCTTTGGTTTGCAAATTGGCCTCTCCTGGGCACCTCTAAGCTCAGCACAAGCAGCAGCCGTCTGCAGATCACTCTGGAGCTCACGCTGGGTGGCCTTGAGCAGGGCGCAAATGGTGGCTGACCTTGGCCTGCATTTCCTGGGACGCCCCAGATCCAGCACACCCAGTGAACAGACTCAGACTATGCCAAGGCACCATCCAGCCCCCTCCGCAAGGGACAACCTCAGCAGGCACCAGAGCCCGCTGAAGTCAGTCCTGTTCTGTGGGGTGGGCTCCATGCATAGTGCATTCTCCATGGTGGTTGAGGCCAGTCTTTGCAGCCAATCGGCCTAGGGGTAAATCTCTCCTATTGAAGTGCCAACAGCAATCAAGGCTCAACTACAACACAAGCGTGTACACAGCCCATATGGGGTGGGTGAGCACACTAGGAATGCCTAGCTTGAGTGAGTGGGTGGCTGTGCCAAAGGACCCTACAGAACACCTACTAGGTAAGGCCACTCTACCAACTTGGGGAGAGATAGCAGATCTACCTAATACACAGGAACAAACACAGAGAGCCTGCCAAAGGAAGAGCCAAAGAAACATCTCCCAAATGGAGCAGAACTTCAGAAGAAGAAAAAAATGGAGGCAAACAACCTACTAGATGAAGAGGTCAAAACACTGGTTATTACGATGCTCAATGAACTTAGGGGAAGAGTAAATGAACTCAGAATTTCAACCGAGAAATTGGAAATTAAAAACAACTAGAAAACATTGAAAAGGTCAGACATGAAGACTACATTAACTGAAATGAAGAATACATTACAGGGAATCAACAATGGAGTAGATGAGGCTAATGATCCAATCAGACATGTGGAAGATAAGACAACAGAATAGAACTAATCAGAACAGCAAAAAGAAAAAAGAATAAAAAAACGAGGATAGTTTTAGGAGCCTCTGGGACAACTTCAAGCACACCGACATTTGCATCACAGGGGGGCCAGGAGGAGAAGAGAGAAAGCAAAGAATTGAAAACCTGTGTGAGAAAATGATGATGAAAAACTCTCCTAACCAGGTGAAGGCAACAGACAGGCAAGACCAGGAAGCACAGAGAGTCCGAAACAAGATGAACCCAAAGAGGCACACCCGAGACACATAATTAAAATGCTGAAGGTTAAAGACAAAGAGAGAATGTTAAAAGCAGCAAGAGAAGAGCAGTTTCTTACCTACAAGGAAGCTCCCGTACGACTGTCAGCTGATTTCCGAACATAAACTTTGCAGACCAGAAGTGACTGGCAAGAAATACTCAAAGTGATGAAAAGCAAGGACCTACAAACAAGGCTACTTTACATAGCAAAGCTCTCATTTAGAATCAAAGGGCAGATAAAGAGCTGCCCAGACAAGAAAAAGCTAAAGGAGTTTGTTACCACCAAACCAGTATTGCAACAAATGTTAAAAGGCTTGCGAAGGGAAGGAGAAGAAGGAGAAGCAGCAGCAAGAGAATAAGGAGATGGAGAAAATAGAGGAGGGGGAGAAGGAGGGAAGGGGGAAGAAGAAACAGAGAAAAATAGTTAATAAGTAAAATAGCAAAATGATAATACATACATATCTATCAATAATCACTTTCAATGCAAATAGCTAGAATGTTCCAATTAAAAGACATAGCATAACAAGTCTCAATAAATTGAAGACAGAAATCATATCAAGCATCTTCTGACCATAATGCCATAAAACTAGAAATCAATCACAAGAAGAAAACTAAAAATTACACAAAAGACATGGAAGCTAAGTAACATGTTATTAAATAATGAATGGGTTAACAATGAGATCAAGGAAGAAATCGAAAGATACCTTGAGGCAAATGAAAATGAGAACACAACCACCAAAAATCTATGGGACACAGTGAAAGCAATCCTAAGAGGAAAATTCATATAATTACAGGCCTATCTCAAGAAACAGCAAAAAGCTCAAATAAACAATCTAGCTTTATACTCAAAGGAACTTGAAAAGGAACAATAAACAAAGTCCAAAGTGAGTAGACACTAATTTGAAAGAACACAAGCACCCCTGCATTCAATGCAGCATTCCTTACAAAGCCAAGATCTGGAAGCAGCCCAAGCGTCTATCCATTGGTAGATGAGTGGATAAAACAGCTGTGGTACATTAGTACAATGGAATACTACTTGGCCGTGGGAAAAAAAAGATGAAGTTTACCCTTTGCAACAGCATGGATGGACATGGAGAACATTACACCAAGCGAAATAAGCCAGTCACAGAAAGACACATCGCGTATGACTTCACTCATATGTGGAATCTAATGAACAAACTGAACAACCAAGCAAAACAGAGACAGACGCATAGAGAGCAGGTGCACAGCTGTGGTGGGGGGAGGGGTCGGGGGTCAGAGGGCTAGAGGAAGAAAAGGACTCATGGACAAGGACAATAGTGCAGTGATTGCAGGGGGCAGGGGGAAGTTGGAGGTGGAGGAGGGTATAAGGGAGATAAATGGTGATTAAAAAGACAATAAATAAATAATTTTTTTTTAAAAAGACACATGTGGGAAGCAAAAATTTCTAGTCTGGTTTCAAAAAGTAATCCAAGGATTTTGAATTGGCCTTACCAACAGTCTGATGAATCAGTTTGTTGAGGGGGTGGTGTATATTAATAAATAATCAAAGACGACATTGCAACTTGGTAAACAGGCATTACCTATTTAATAAGTACAATATATACATAGATTTCTCTTATTTACAAAATGAACAGTGTAATCAAGTTAAAGATTATCTGTACAATGCGCGTGTAAGTGTGCGCGCGCGCACACACACACACACACATATATATATGAACTTTGGAAGATAAACAGTTTCATCCTCAGTCTAAATGGACAGCCACACTGCAGTTTTAAGAAAGGATTTCATTCCAGAAGAAAATACAACCTGAACATACTATTATACTTTTCATTTATTTTCCTGACAATTCTTGATAATTTGGATACTTTTTCAATTTACTTTCTCTTGCTCAGCCTTGACAAATGTTTAGGTTTCTAGTGCCACCAACTGGTGTTCAAAATTAACAATCTTAGTGTCACAAAAGAGTTGTTTCATTTTAAAATAAGAAAGTTATGTAAAAAAATTAGCTACAGGAGTCAACATTCATAAGGCAAAGTAACCATACAGGAAAACAACATGATTGATAAAAACATTCTCACCAGGGTAGCATATGTAACATTGATAATATTAATGGTTTCTAATTTTTTCTTCTAATCGTAAATATTGGTCTAATTTATATGTAAAAATCTTTCAAAAATAACATACTGTAAAACAAAATTTGGAAACACACACAACAGCACGATTAGGTCATCTTCACAAGCATCGCGTAGGCATTCATTATTTACTAAAATGGCAAAAATGGAATGCCATTTTATGGTCTTTGGATTTCCCCCCCGTTTTTCTCAAGGAGTAATGAAACATCAAACTGTGACAAAAGTGTGGAAAAGTGTGTTAAGTGCCAAGAAAACAGCAATGTGCTCTCGGTGTAGCTCAGTAAGGACTCACTTCCCAAAGCTGCAGGCCAGAGTGGGACTTCCGGGCCACCTGCGCACACAGGTGGATTGACCCCTTCCCAGGGAGGCTGGCTGTGAGCTGCGGCGGCTCAGAGAGCTGCCCCCGCTTGCTCCTGGATATCTTCACTAGACCACCGGCCCTAGGAGGTCCGGAACTGCTCAGTCTGGCCTGTCTACCAATACAATCACGGTATGGTGCCTGGCAACAGTAGGTTTTCAGTGTGTTTGTTCACTGAATAAATAACATATCGGTAGCCTGATAAAATTTAATTTCAAGATAAATCGTTTTAAGTGGTGATGAAGAAAGTTAAAAGGAAAATACCGAAGTTCAAACTCCCCATTCTGCTCAGACCCACTATTTTCACTCGTTAAAAGAGGCTCACGTTTGAAGTGGCACAGAAAACGAGGATCACAGTACATACTCACTTTAAAAATGAAACCCGGTGAAGTGTATACAAATACACCCACACACACAAAAAATCATTTCCTGCTCAAAGAAACCAGAAGAGCCTTCGACGTGTACGATTCATAATGAACATTCGAAACAAATCTCCCCCCCAGAGCTGAGGCTTCTCCAGACCACTTTCCTGGTCCCGACACCCCGCTCTTGCCTCCGCGTGTCCCATGCAGGTCGGGCAGGAGGCCCTCTCGCCCCCTGCGGCAGGGCGGTCTGTGACCAGTGCAGACACAGAGCGCTCACGCGTGCGCGTCTCTGTACCCTTCGCTCAGTCCTGATTCATACAAAAGGATACAGTAGAAACTAAAGAACAAAAGAAAAATAAAGTGTTTTCTTAAAAAGTTTTCCATAGTTTCTTACGTTTGTTGGGGGGGGTAGCAATAAGTCAAAATATGGTTTATAATAGCCTTCTTGTAAAACTGTTTCAAAGTTAAGCTTCTCCAAATGAATGGTGGTACAAATGTCAACATTGGAATGTTTCAATATCCTATGTAATAAATGTGTACACATATTTTTAAAAGTATATAGACATAGGACACTAGATCTGATCACTATTTGGTCTCCATTGATATTTTTTGTCTTAGAAGAAAAAAGATTGTAGTGTTGGAATTTGTATCACGGAAGAAGCTGTAAGAACAGTTATGTTGGCTACTCTCAGCAGTCTTTAGAACATCAACAGTATGTCTAGGAGCAAATGATAAAAATAATTCAGATTTGATTGCACTAACCCTCCTATTTCCATTGTTTTGATAAGTTACTATTAGTATAAAAAACAAGAAGTATTGTGGTTAGGACAAACTTTTTACAGCTATTTGAAAAATAAAACATTTCTAAACTTGTATTTCCACTTTGAAGTAAAAAGATTTTGTTTCTGGATGACAATATATAACACAATATACCAAAAGAAACACAAAGAATCATCTAATCTTTAGTAAATTATCTCTTTAAATGACGGTGACCTAAACGAGGCTGAAGCACTTCCAAGGGGCGCGGCCACCGTGAGCCCGACTTCGCCGGCCGCACGAGCCTTTAACCCGCCGCCGCCCAGACGCTCACCGCTCACAGAAGGGGAGAAAAGAGAACGCAAACACCCGAAACGAGGTGAGGCTTGCTGCAAGCCGAACACAGAATGAACTGTGGGACAAACCACACACAGACATTCTAACAGGTGAGAAATCACAAGAAGCGAGAAAAATTTCAATGACAAAGAAATACTGATACTATGACTGGCAACATTTAAGCTGCCACATCTTAAATAAATAGTGTAAAAACTCAACAGGTTACATACATTTGGCTCTAAAATTCCTTTGGTTCCAGAGATGCAGTTATTTTGAGTTTTAAATAATATGTGGAAACATCACATTTGGGGACCATGTATCACTCCACTAGAACACGTCACGACATCAACAGCACAGGGTGGGCGTTTGGACAGGACAGAAATGGGTGCGTCTCCTGGGAGCAGGCTCTGCACAGATACTTTAAACGTCTATCTTTACACTTGATCTCAGTAAAACTACAGTATTTCGGTTTCAAAAAATTCATTCTTCATCTGTTTTAATAACTAATCCATTTCACATTTTAAAATATAACTGAAGTCCACAGGAATTTTCTAAATGAGCATGTTACTTAAAATCACATTTTATGTAACTGAAGATTTTAAAAATTCAACTATTAAACAATTTAAATGTGAAAAAAATGCACCTACCCTGATAAGGTACATACGATGTCTGGTCCTTGCTCGTCACCACAAGCTAGCTCTCCTACTCGCTTACATTCAAATTAAAAGATTTAAGGATTGCTGGCAACAATCCCTAAAACACAACCAAATGTTACATGGGAATGCCAAAACAAAAATTTTTATTTTTTAGTATTTTTTTTAAGTTGGAGAAATAGCATATTACTGGAAGATTAACCCCTCGTCCTTTCATGCATAATTTTAAAAAGCTGAATCATTTTTCACATTAGGTGTTTTAAAGGGAAGAAATATGAAGAAGGGGTTTTCAAAAGCCCTTGTAATGTCGAGCACTTCACATGGCTACCAGCAAATTAAACCAGGTTGTTCTGGTTTGATGATGGGCTGTCACTATACAAAAACAAACTTCACTGAGTCTGCACTCTTCCAGCATACACCGCGGTGCATCCCTACTGTGAAAGGATACTTTTCAATACAGAAGAAACAATGGAATTTTTACTGGCTGACACACAGCAGGGGGGTTTCCAGCAGTACTGGGCAGGGGCGCCAGCTCCTCCTCGTGTGGTTCTTGTCTCTTTGCTGAGCGACAGTTTTGTTAGGTTTTCTTCGTCCGCTGTTCTAGTTCATGCTGGTGTTTAATAAGGCGCTCTATTTCTGTTCCAAGTGTTTGTAAATTTTCCTTTAAGCATGTGAAAAAAGCAAAGGGAACAGAACTACTAAGTATAATAAGTAAAAAAAGATGCCACTTGAAATACTTTTGCCTAAATTTTGAAGCTGAGTGGTTAGTTTTAAATGTCACGTGAAATAAACTAGGCATATGGTTATTTTCAGTAAAGAATTCCTACATATTTCAGAGTAATACTTAGTCTTTTCACTAAAGCTACAACAAATTTTATTGCATTAAATTATTACTAAATTTAAAAAATTATTCTTAAAATCCATGACTAACTATCAAGGCCCAAACACAGCACAAGTAGAACAGATCAGATGATAGCTGCAAACAATAAAGTGAAGCTAGAAAATACATTAAAACATAAATACCTCGACCTTAAAAAATACCTCAGTAATCAATTTTAACTTATTATAGTACATCTCGAAGGCCACCCACTGCAAAGCAAACAACTCACATTAGTGTCTATCCAACAGCTAAACTGGCCCATCACCAGATGATTGGATAAAAAAGCCATGGTACATAAATACAATGGGATACTACTTGGCCATAAAAAAAAATGAAATCTTACCATTTGCAACAACATGGATGGACCTAGAGGGCATTATGCTAAGTGAAATTAGTCAGTCAGAGAAAGATCAATACCATATGATTTCACTTATATGTGGAATCTAAAGAACGAAATAAACGAACAAACAAAACTGAAACAGACTCACAGACACACAGAATAGACTGATGGTCGCCAGTGGTTGGTAGACTGGGTTAAAAAGGTGAAGGGATTAAGAAGCACAAATTGGCAGTTACGAATGGTCATGGGGATGTAAAGTACAGCTTAGGGAATGTCATCAATAATATTGAATAACTCTGTACAGTGCCAGGTGGGTGCTGGGAATATCAGGAGAAACTGGTTGTGAAGTATATGACCGTCTAACCACTGTGCTGTACATCTGAAATTGGGTTGGCCAAAAAGCTCATTTAGTTTTTTCCATGAAATAAGACACATTTTTCATTTTCACCAATAACTTGATCGAACACTGAGTACGTAGGCTATCTCGCACGTGGTACAACGTTGATTGTTCTCCATCAATGTCTCGATTTGATCTCTGTCGACTTCAGTTGGTCCACCCAACTGTGGAGCGTTGTCCAGTGAGACATCTCCAGCACGGAACTTCACAAACCACTTTTGGCACTTTAGATCAGTCACAGCACTTTCCCCATACACTGCATAAATCTTTTTTGTGCGTTTCAATTATGTTTGTATCTTTCTTGAAATAATAAAGCATAATATGCCAAAAATGTTGCTTATCTTCTTCCAACTTCAATATTACAATGGCTACACAAAAATTCACCAATTCTGGTGTTTTTAAAATGCATGCCGATACGACAGCTGTCACAATACAACCTAACAAAATTGTTTTTGAATGAAGTTAAGAACAACTAAGCACGACTAGAGACATCTTACAGAAAAAAACAAACCTTTTGGCCAACCCAATAATACAAAATAATACTCAATGTAAACTATAATTGAAAAATAAAAAATAAAAATATAGCTAGCTAATTTTTTTACTATTTCTTTCATTGCTAGCTTGAAAAGTTGTGCTTTTCAGAAAGAGAAAAAAACTTCATACCTAGGTAAAATGGTTGTCCTGCATTACAGAAACAGTCCACCTATGTGCTGGATCAAACTAGGAAAGAGGCACCATTTTGCCATGTTTGCTGGTGGATTAGTGAATGAGAAATACAAATACCTTCAAAGTAATATTTTTTAGTAACGTATCCTCCAAAACAGCCTGTAATTTCCGGTTGATCTCCAAAGACAGCTCCAGGGTCAACCCACTGTCAGCCGGATGGGACGTGTACAGAGACGCCATGATGCCGCCCCGTCTGCTCAAGTGGACTTTGTTAAAGTCGGATGCCTCCGAAGAAAGGGTGCCTGCTTCTTCCCGCAAAATGTAACTCTGAATTATTCTGCAAAATAAAACAGCGCCATCAGTTACGTACCTGCAGAATTAAAAAGGCTGGAATTTATAAGAATTGATTAATCATAAGCACAGAGATAATTAGATTAGCATAAATACCTATTAGGTTAATAACAGAACTATATTAGGAAATAAATTTTCCTTATTCAGATGGTTTTCTAAAGATATCTAAACACTGCTTTTCTATTTTTATTACTTTGGTAAGAATATTTAAGCAGTTTTCTGCTCCCATTTCAGTTAATATTTTCAATTTTCATGTTATTAAACTTGGAGCTTTTTCTTTTAAAAATAAATCATGGGCAACCTTTTCTCTAAGTCTAAAATTATTTCAAAATAAAAATGAAAAGGTCATGGGGAAAGACTGCAATACAAAAAACCTCTTAAACAAATGTGGTGCTCGAGGGAGGACTCTGGCACACAGCACAGGCTCTGGGGCGCCAGGTGTCGGGGCTGAGTGCGGTTCCCCACTCTCAGACTGTCACTCACAAAGTAAGTGGTGATTCTAGAACACTTAGTAATTTGACCTGAGCCCTGGTAACTTATCCGCCAAGTTAGAGAACTCATTCTCTCCCTGAGTAGATGTCAGGAATCAATGATCTATTATTAAGTCAACAGGCACTGGGCCTGTACTGTAGGTGCCCAACAGATTACCCCACCTTGTTCCACCCAACACGAGAGAGAATCCACAACACTATGTATCTCTTACAATTGCAGTCATAAAAACAAAAACCTAAGTAGAGCACTATCTTCTTAAGTCCAAAGTTATTTTGGTATGTTAAAACAATGCATCATGTTGATCAGCCACCACCATGAACGACAGGAACCATCTGGGGCAGGAAGTCCATGACCGGCAGACTACTTCAGGGAAATCAAGGTCACCGACGCCCTTCACACTGGGAGGGCAACAGTACCTCAGATAGAAATTCGAGAAAAGCTAGCCAAAATGTGTAAGACCAGGCCAGATGTAACCTTTGTGCTTGGATTCAGAACCCATTCTGGTGGTGGCAGGAAAAGTGGCGCTGGCGTGATTTGCAGTTCCTTGGATTATGCAAAAGACGAACCCAAACACAGACTTGCAAGACATGGCCTGTCTGAGAAGCAGCCAGAGAAGGGAGGCGAGAACAGAATGAAGGAACTCAGGGGGCTGCGAAGGCCAATGCTGGTGCTGGCAAAAGCAGCTGGAGGCTGGACAGCAGAAGAAATAGATTCTTCGGTGACTTTCTGCAGTGACTATGCAGATTTTTTCCTGAGAGGATTAATAAACTAACAACTTTAGAAGAAACTAATGTCCACTGCACTCTATTATCACCTTAAAGGAAATATCTGTTTTTTTTTCATCTTTCTATTCCTAAACCTAGAACATAAGTGATCAACGAAAGATTGGGAATTGAATGACTATAACTAAGAATTATCTTTTAAAAGATAGAATCTTGATATGATTAATTCAAAAACAGTAACTTGACTACCTGAATAATTCTGAACACAGATTGTATTACCATAGTAATACATACTTTGTTTTTTTCCGAATTTCTTCCACCAATTGTTTGATGTGATCCTCCATAAATTCTATCTTTTCATGTTTGCGGGCATGTGCTTTCTGAAGCCTCACTATCCTCTCAATCAGCATGGCTTTGTCCACTTCTGGGAAGTTGTCCACGGCCACCGATGACCCGGTATTTTCCGGAGACCGATCTTCTGCACTGCTTCGGGCATTAATGGACCCTAGTGACAAAAAAAAAAAAGTTTAGATATTGTACCTGGTCTAGTTATCTCTAATCCCATATTATTTCCTATAGTATTATTTTCAAATACTCAGCCTAACGGAGCTGGGCAAAGGACACAGGTAATACCTGGCCTGAGTTCTTATTTCTGAGTACAATGATAACAGAGGTACAAAAAATCTACTATGCCCTTCAGGAAGAGGAAGTGTCAACAGAGAAAAAGAAACTCAAGAAAAAGAAGTAACAAGTCTGAAGACAGACTAAAATTAAACCAAGAAAAGAGACGGGCTGACAGACACAGACAGAGAGTAGATAGAATACAGCCAAGTGGGTTCAGCTCGGGAGCCAGCTCTCCCTGGGTTCAAATCCACTTTCTGGCTGCAAGACTTCGGACAAGTTATTTAACTCTCTGTGCCTTTAAGATTCTTCATCTAAAAATGAGATAATACATGTGAAATACTTACAACCATGCATACAATAAGCTCTAAGTAAATGTTAGCTATTATTTTTATCAACATCAGTTGAAAAGAATGTTTGACCTTTTTACCCTATAAACATGGCTTTTTTTTTTTGCTCACCCCATTCTGTAGAGTTAAGACAAGTTATGTATCTTATCTGACATCAGGAACTACTAAATGACAGAGCTGAGATCTAAACACTTATGTGTAATTTAAAACCCACGTTCCTTCTACCAAACAATTTCCCTTAGCGCACAGCTCTGGGGAGCCGTGCCGCGCAGAGGTGTGGACTTTGGTCAAGTCATGGAAACACCCTCTAAAATGGGAATTACAACAGCTCACATGAATTCTGCAGTGCAAACAATATGTTTCAAGCATTCTGGCATTCCAAAATTGATAAATATACTAATATTTTGCTATTTTCAAAATGTTATCAATCATAATTTTATACTCTATTCATTTTTGCTTTAGACTATAGGCATATTTACCACGAGAAAAGCTAACATTTAAAAATACATATATGTATATACATTTAAAAATCTGATATATAATGATAGCCATTTCATTAGTAATCAGGTGTTAAAAGTAACATAAAAGTAAAAGAAAAAGAGAGAACTATACTACAGCAATTCTCTGTATGGATGGATACAAAATCTGAATTTAAAAATGGAAGAGGAAATTGTTACACAGAATACAGAAAAAGTAGGTAAGAAAAAAGGAGAGATAGGGAAATATAAAACCACGTGACATACACCTGAAATTAATGTAATATTGAATGTCAACTATACTTTAACTAAAAAGAGCTTTAAATTCCAGAATGAAGAAGAAGAAGAACCACATGATAAACTGACAAATTTGAAACCCTGGGTAATGATTAGAACTTAAACATTTAACTGGCAATATTTTTTTCACTATGTACAATTATCACTTTTAAAATTGAAGATGAAAAACACTTCAATACCTTTTAAAACAAAAAATGCTACTTCTTTTTAAATCAATCATCAACTAACAAACCATTCATTTCTTTTACCTGATGAACTCGAACGACTTCCCATGCTGCTCACTTCCTTGTCATAGCTTCCGTTCTCGATCTGATCTAATTTTCTCCGTGCTACACAAAAAAGAAATGGACTGCTCGTGAAAATTATCATTACCATTTGTCCCCGAGACCTCTGACTTTACTTGCTAAAATCACTTAGGCAAAAATGGCAGAAGCAGCAAGAGAAATTTCTTGAACACATACTTTAAACAGGAAGGCTGCAGGGGTCATTCATATAAAATGACATCTAGGAATGTACAGGTCAAACACAAAATATACAGAAACGACACTGTGATAACAACTACACTGGCCAGCATCGCTTAGGTATGCTGAGCGTAACTTCTGGAGTCCTGAAAGATGTAGAGGAGCACCAGAAATTTCCCTTCAATTACATCCATAAAAACAAACTGAATTCTTATGGCAAATATCTGAATATATTAAGTAAATGCTGTCTCTTTAATTACTATGTTTTATCATATTTTGACACAAATAAAGCAGAGGGAAATAGAGAATAGGAAGTCAGAATACATCTTATTCATCATTGTATCCAAGCACATAGCACAGACTCCCACTAATTGTGTGACTTTTTAAATGAAAGAAATCTGGGCTTCAGTTCTGGCTGTTCATCACTGTGTCTGGTTAATCTATAACCGCTCTGGGTCTGTTCCCTACAACAGGAAAGGCTCAGTCTCAATGATCTCCAAGTTACAGGTCTCCCAGGTGGGGTGCAGGCACCACAGATGCCACACAAAACTATTCATAGACACGCGCAGGGAGAAAATACCACAACTTCTATTGATACTGAATCTGATCTTTTTTTTTTTTAAGATTCTATTTATTTATTTTTAGAGAGGGGAAGGGAGGGAGAAAGAGAGAGAAACATCAATGTGTGGTTGCCTCTCGCGTGGCCCCCACTGGAGACATGGCCTGCAACCCAGGCGTGGGCCCTGACTGGGAATCAAACCTGAAATGCTTTGGTTGGCAGCCTGCGCTCAATCCACTGAGCTATGCCAGCCAGGTAATCTCTTTTAAAATGTCTATTTTTCTTATGTTTTCTAAAATACATAGAATAATACATGTTTAAAATTTATAAACATGTATATGGAGAAAAATGCTTAAATAATTTTTACTAATAGGAGTATCTGATCAAAAACATTGATATACTACTGCCCTAAAGTGCTTTTCCAACTCTTACACTTTGTAGTCCCACAAGTGAATGTGCTTTAGCATGGAAGATGCTCCAGATTATTCATGTTACTGCAAGAGGTTTAGCAATTTGGTTTATGAACATGAATACATTAAAAAGAAGACAAGGCTCTAATCAATGTAGGATCTGATGTAAAAATATTTTTTCTACAGATCCTAATGATTAAAAGACACACACACACAAAACCATTCGAGGTCTAAGTGTGAAGGAATCTCGTACCTTGCTGGAGTTGCTTGGTAAGGTCCTTGACACTAGAGGCGTACTTCCGCCTCTGCGTCACCAGTTCATCTTTCAGCTCTTCGACCTGGGTGCTCAGTGCGTCAGCCTCGGCTCGCTTACCAGCGAGTTCAGCTTGCAGAGTCTGGACTTCCTCATTTCGCAGTTGCTCTTCTTTCAACAACCTACTTTCCTAAATATCAAATTAAGGTAAAACAAAAAACACCCATTTTAATAAATGACGTACATGTATCTATCATTTCTCAGTTTAAAACGTCAAAAATACAAGGTCTTTAACAGTACATTCCGCTATCGTCACTCCTTACCAGGTTTCCTTCACTGAGCTCCTTGAATTCTTCATGTAGCGGGGAGGGGGACACATTAACACGTTTGCCATTCTACACATGCAAACCCACGCGTGCTATAGGTCTCTGCATTTCTCAACTACAGCCTCGAATCATTTTTACAAGTAACTTGAAATCACTCTCATAGCTTGAAAGTATTAAATCACTTTTAAACTACCAAGATATAAAAATGTAAAGTACTTTTAAAAAATATATAGTAATTCCAGTGAAGAATGACAAAAACCCTGATTTTCCTGTTTCCAAAAGTGAAGTATTTCTTCATAACCATTTTAGGGAAACATTTTATTATAAATTATGAGAGTTGAAAGGAAAACTGACATTTCTACAGCATTTGAAATGACAAGAAAGTCGGTGCGGGCAAACAAGAGCTTAGTTCAACCACTGCTAGGTTTACACTGTTAGGGAAACCAAGCTGTGCTTCTTGCTACGTTGCTTTAAGTGTTCAATGTACAATTATACTCACCAAATTAACACTGGTCTGCTTCATTTGTTCACATTGGCTTTGTAACTGACTTTCACTACAGGCAAGTTTATCGAATTGTGACTGCAAAGAATTGGATTCAGACTGAAGTTGTGCATTCTTACTAGTGAGCTTTTCTGTAAATAGTAGTAGCTCAGATTCTCTTTTCCTACTGCCTTCGATGTCTTTTTGTAGGTCATTAATCAAAGAATTAAGACTGTCCACTTCTTCCTTCAAATTTTCAATTTCTTGTTTACCTCTAAAAAACAAAGTTTATATTTAAGAAAAAATGAAACCATTAAAAGACATTAAATTAATGGTTTGGGAATTTTCATTGAAGGAAGTACTTTATAGAGATACTTTTATTAGTATATGTAATCATTTGTGAATGACAAATACAATACATGCTAGGAACTAAGAGCTGGAAATGTAAGTGAGCAAGACCGAAGGGGGCCCCTGCTTCCAGAGTCTTTTATCAAGCGGGGAAGCTGTCTGAGTGTGATAATACATTGATGAGAAAGCACCAAGCGGGTCATCCACCCAGTGCAAGTGATGCTTGAACTGACACTTAAAGCAGGGTAGCGACCTTTCCCTGTGAAAGGCGCAGACAGTAAAGGCCTTAGGCTTCTGGGGCATATGGTCTTCGTTGCACTGTTCCATTCTGCCACTGCTGTTCGAAAGCAGCCATGGACAAAACGCAAAGGGATGAGCATTCCACAAAACTGGAATAGACCGAAAGAGGCAGCGGGCTGGATTTGGCTTGCGGGCCACAGTGTGCTGATTTCTGACCCAAAGGAAAAATAGGAATGAGCAGCAGAACCACAGCTGTCCCAGGCAGAGGGAGCTGCGTGCTGAATGAAGCTGAGAAAGGAACGAGGGAACGAGCGGTCGATGGTCCGCACGAACGGAGGTGGGACTCTGACGGAGATAAGGACTGCCCTGGATCCGGGGGCCTCGCACGGGGCCTGGCACACAGGAGGGCGGGAACACCGGAGTGGAAGAGGAGAAGGCATGGAGGGACGAGCAACCGACAGGCACTGAAGACCTTTCAGGCCGAGTTAAGGCATCTCCAGGGGTGTCTTCACCCCTGAAAACAGCTTCAACGCTGCTTCTTCCAGAGTGGCCCAGAGACGCCAAAAGGATGGACACCCCTGTGTGACTAGGCAACCCTGGAGGCAATGGGAAATCGCTGACATGTTTTGAGAAAATTTCCTTTTTAAAAAGTTTATGTTAACCACAGTGTGGGAAATGCATTCAAGAGAAGTGAAGGGTGGGAGGAAAGTTTAGAAAGCATGGCAGTCTTCCAGGTGAGAGCGGATAATGGCTTGGACAAAGGGAGCAGCCACAGGAATATAAAAAGTAAACAGACTTGACAGGCATTGAAGAGTCAGCATTGATAATACGTGTGACTGGCTAGACATGTGAGGGGAAGGGGAGGAGAGAGAGAACCTGGTGTCCCCCAGGTTCCTGGGCTGGAAAACCACATGGACGCTACTCATGTCTCAACTCAGGAACATCAGAAAGCCGCAGTGGTGAACGGGAAAGATGGTCAGTTTTGGACATTAATTAAAGTTTCAGGTGCTTTTGATACTTTTTGTGTCTAGAGCTCAGCAAAATGGGCTGAAAATGATTTGAAGGTCCTGCAAATACTGTAAGAATAAGTAGGATCACCCAGGGTAATAAAATACGGACAAAAGAGTTTTACGACAGAATGAAAAGACTGCCAAGGAGATGAGAAAAAGCGTGGCCAGAAAGTGGGGAGGAAGACCAGGAGCACTTGGACAAAATGAAGCCAGAGGCTCGTCAAGAAAGCTAATGGGCTCAGTGGTATTAATACTGACAACTCAAGCAAAGCTTAGTCTGACCAAGTGTCTACTGGATTTAAGGAGGCATCAGCAGTTTTTAGTGGAATACTGGGGTAGAAACTAGAAACCAGAATGAAATGGAGACGGTTAAAAGAAAAAAGAAGGAAAGAAAGAAAGGACGAGTAGAGATGCCTTTATAAAGATGTGTGGGTTGTGAAGGAAAGGAGCATGGTAGGGAGGTCATTGGACCTTGCGGTCTGTAAGATGTAATAATATGTAAATGCAGAAGGAAAACACAGTCAGTAGAAAGAGGTCAGAGACAAAGGATAAAGAAATAATCAACTAAGGCCCTGAGAAGGCAAGAGAGCAGAGGACCCACAGCTGGAGTAGAGAACGATTCGACTCCCAGAGGAACAGACGCATGTCTTCCATCAGCAGAAGGAGAAGTAAGACGAACGGCTGTGGATGCAGGAAGGTTCACAGGACTGAGAGCAAGAGGTTCACAGGACTGGCAGTGAGAACTGCCAACTGATGGCTCCCATTTTTTTCTGTGAAGAGATAATCTCCTGCAGCAAACAGTAAGGTGAGAAGAAACAGAAGAAGTGTACAGAAAGCAATAAGGTTTGGTAGAGATGCTAAGAAGACAAGGGAGAGGTTTCTAAGGATGTATGATAGGGTTAAAGATGTATTAATATTCCCAGTTGAGGTTGCTAACCATGAATTTATAGCGGCACCACTCTGGATGACAGTGAGATTTTTTTTTAGCAACACTCGGCAGCCTGGGTATCAGTAGGGTATGAAAAGTACTTGGATTCAACCTGCATCCATGCTCTGCCAGGAAGCATCATGAGTGGACTTTAGCTAGGGTTTTGTAAGAATCCAAGGGGTAATTTCAGAGCATGACTGCAAGCTCTATACACACAAAGATATGACTATAGACGCACATCTACCTTTTAGAGGGAAATTTGAAGTACTGTGCATAACTAACAATTCGAAAGGTAAGGAATGGATCAAGAAACCAAAATCCATTGTCTTAGAAATTGCTACTGCCAATGTTTAGGGAATATAAACTTTGATTTTTAGAAGCCATGATGGGAAGTTTAAAGATAATCCAAAAAGGCTCAAATATAGAAAGAAATTTAAAAATTTTTAGCCAGTAAAATTATAAAATTATTCTTAATGAAATCACTGCACTTAAAGACAGAAACCTGAGGTAGAATTTAAAAGCCTGTTGATCAGCACGAACAGAAGTTGCTCGGTTTCTACCTTTGATGCTGCTCCTGTAGCTGATCCGCAATTTTCACTTTGTCCAGTAAGCTCTGGATTTCAGCTTTTTGGCGATTAATAATTTCCTTATATTTTGACAATTCATCTTCTGTTCGTAATCGTTCATCTTCTAGACATTTCACCTATCACAAATCATAACCAAGTTAAACCACAAACAGTCTTTTCTCGTTCCTTATTAACTATTTCAGGTAGTGATTATCCAGGGTCCAGCAGAAGTAAGGTCTGCTTGAGTGTGGTTGGTGGGGTACGTGAATGTCTTGCACAAGACAGCAATTTGAACATTTCACCTAAAAGGTCACATGGTGTGCTTGAGTATGACAGATATTGTTATGTTACAGAATTACATGCTTATGATTTTATAATAAAAAGGGGGTATTATTTGTGCTGAACCTTGTATATTAAAAGTCTAAGCTGAACTCTGAAGCAGTGTTACGGTAATTAATGTGAAGAAAACATAATGGGGAGTAAATAGTCCTGGATTTCCATCTCAGATTTCCGGATTTAGTCTTGGGAGTTTTAGTATGCCATTTTATTTTTGTCGAGTCCCCATTTCTTCACCCGAAAAGAGGCTATACCGTCCCTACCTCAACGAACTGGCATGGAAAACAAATAGAAGTGTATGTGGTTGTATTTCACTTGTTTGTTTTGTTGATTAGGTTCCACTTAGGGGTGAGATCACGTGATATTTGTTTTTCACTGCCTGGCTTACTTCACTCAGCATAAAGCTCTCCAGTTCCATCCACGCAGTCATGAAGAGTAGGAAGTTCCTTCTTTCTTTTTGCTGCATAGTACTGCATTGGGTAAATGGACCAGTTTTTTAATCCACTCATTTACTGGTGGGCACCCAGGCTGTTTTGAGGCTTGGCTATTGTAAATTGTGCTGCTATGAACATTGGGGTACATAGGTCCTTCTGAATTGGTGTTTCAGGATCCTTAGGGTATAATCCCAGCAGTGGTATTCATGGGTGAAAACAAACAGGCAAGCAAAATACAACCAGGGACATTGAAATAAAGAACAAACTGACAGTAACCAGAGAGGAGCGGGAGAGGGGTAACGGGGGAAAATAGGGGAAGGGCCATCAAGGAACCTGTATAAAGGACACATGGACAAAGCCAAAGGGGAGCGGGTCTGAGGGTGGGATGTGGGAATGGGGGGACAGGGAGGGCATGATGGGGTGAAAATGGAGACAAGTGTATTTGAACAACAATAATAAAAAATAAAAAATAAAAAGTATATATGGGAAAGACTTTGAAAATTACTAAATAGCTACTTAAAAGTAGTTGAAAGCCTGTTTCTAAATAAATGAATGATATGCAATGATAACATTTCACAGTCATATTAAAAGGGACCTTACAGTTCTCAAGTCCAACTCTCTTTCCAATGAATTTGCTGATAACACTGCCTTTGGGTGAGAGGCCCAAAAGACACAGCAAATGTGTTATAAAACAGGCATGTTTGCCAAACACTTCAAAGGAGCTGAAGTGGAAGACATTTCCATTTCAATAAGAGAGTCAGTTTTATTGCTAGGAAACTGATATTCTACTCCTATGAGTCCTTTTCTTTTGGGAAATTTCTATTTTTATTTATTTATTTTTTCAATCCACACCTGAGGACATGTTTACTGATCTGAGAGAGAGAGGAGGCAAGAGAGGGGGAAACATGGGTGTGAGAGAGAAACACTGACTGGCTATCTTCCGTATGTGCCCCAACCGGGCCTGAACCCACCACCTGGGTATGTGTGTGCCCTGGCTGGGACTGAGCCTGCAACCTTTTGGTTTACGAGACGAAGCTCCAAACAACTGAGCCACGTGGCCAGGACTTATTTTGGAGATTTTCTAAATAAATACCCTTTCCTCAACATTTTAAAGATGAGGAGTTCAAAATTAAAAATATTGACCCATCTTTGAGTCATGACTAGAGATTCAATTACCTTTGTTCTCAGTGTCCGTAGCTCATCCATGCCCTCCTTAAATGTCCTCTTCAGGTCTTCCAGTTCCTTTATTTTGGCATGATGCATCTTTTAGAAAGTTTAAAAGAAAACACAAATCATTATGTAGAAAGCTAAACTTTGGGAGATCCTGCTCCTCCCAAAAGGCTTTAAAAGCAGATGACAGTAAGTTCTCGTAATTTCTCTCTTCTGTATTTATCACACGCTCTAGGGCGTACCAGGAACAAAATGACTCACTTCGAGCTGGTCAGATTTTTCTTGCATTTGCTTTTCAAGTTCTCCTTTTGTGACTCTAAGCTTGGCATCAAGCTCATTTGATTTAATTTCTTCTGACTCCTAATGGAAAAGAAATGAAAAAGTATGACTTAATTTTTAAAGTTTTATACTTTGAAAAGTGAAAGCAGCTTTGGCAATTAACTGTACTAATTAAGAAACACATAGCTTACTTATGTAAAAATGACTGCCTTGAAAGATTTTAAATATGTCAATTTTGCAAGACTTAAAATATGTAACATAATACAGAGTGGTTTTATTTTTAACTTAGACATTTATATACATGTACTATTCATACTTCTAATATTTTCTAGTGTTTTTATTTGGTTAAAAACTTCTCTAATGAGATTTCTATATAAGTTACAAGTAGTTGAACACAGGAAATAACCTGTATTTTATGTAACTGCCCCACCAAATATATTCCACACTTTGAATGTTACAGATTCACAAATTTAATGAAACAGGAGTGCTGATTTGGCATAATGTTGTTACTAATCTATTTGAAAAGTTAAGCATACCTGGTATGTTTTTATCATATCCTGACAATTTTTTCGAATCTGATCTGCTTCTTCCTTTGCTTGGGTTAACTTTGTTGTTGTCTCTTTGAGTTTATCTTTGGTTTCCTGCATGGGCAAAAAGACAGTGACAAACTTGGGTAGAACGATGTGATGAACGGTAAGAACAATGACCAGGGAGGGGCCAGTTCTTGTCTCAGCACTGCCACTGAGGGGCTGAAGAACTAAAAGCCACGAAATAAAGTTAAATTTGATAGGATTTCAGCAAATCACTAGAATTTCCTAAGTAACAAGAAGAGCAAATATTAACCAGTTCTTTGCACACATACATTAAAAAAAATTCCTTGGTTTATGGCTGTGGTATCTCTTCAAAAACTGCTTTTTTATAGATTCATACTGCAATTTGGTTTCTATTCCTAATCACTCTCCTAAAATTGCAATTCTGAAGGTTACCCTCTCACAAAAATTCAATGACTTTTTTTGTTGTTCCTTACTATTGACTTTGCTCCAGCTCCGACCACTCCCGACTCTCTGAATATCCTCCTCTGTTCCCATTACAAGACAGTATGCTGTTTTGTCCCTCTGCCTTCCTTGGCTCTGTGGCTGGCTTTCAACTTCCTGTGGCAGTTTTCCAAGATACATCCCTGCCCTGAGCTCTTTCTCCAGAGTCCTTCAGGGTACCATCGAGCCCCATGGTATTGGCTATCATGTGACTTTCAAATGAGAATCATCTCCTCCTAGTAACTTCCCTTTAGAAAGGGATAAATGCTATTATTCTGCCTTCCCATTGGTAGAGTTCAGAGCATCCTTATACTGTAACGGCTGGTACACTGGACTTATGTGTTTTCCCCACTGAGGACAGAGTTTCTGGGCAACACCTGGCTCAGAACTTGCCACGTATTAATGGTTCAAGTAGTATTTGATGAATGAGTAAAGGAATACCTAATATACAAATCTTCTGTTCTAGTTAAGGTGGTCTTCCCAAATACCAAATAGTCATTTCCCTTTTTCCTTAATGCTCCTCCACTCGGGACACCTTTCTCTTCATCCCTTGAACCGTCTAAACTGCATGTACCTTTCACACACTGCTTTTCATGTGTCATTCTGTTTTTGTATAAATCTGTCATACAATTAAGTACTTAGTTATGTACTTTCAGCTGCTGGTCTTTCAATAATAATTTGACATTAAAACTCAGGATTACTTTTAAAATATAAACATTTGGAGACTTTTTCAAATATTGTTTTCAAAAATTTTTTAAATTTATTGATTTGAGAGAGAGAGAGAAAGAAGGAAAAACATTAATTTGTTGCTCCACTTACTCCTGTACTCGCTGGCCATGCCCTGTCCGTGCCCCGCCCAGGGACCCGGCCCGCAGCCCTGCCACACTGGGATGACGCGCCAGCCTACGGAGCTACTGCATCAAGGCTTGTTTTATCCTTTTTTTTTTTTTTAAATATCACACTATTACTTCAACAATAGGACAGAAAGAAAGGGACTTTATCTTTTCCCCCCAACTTCTATATAATCAAGAACTGAAACAGAGTCTGGCACATAGGAGGTACCCACTTCACTCACTCAAAAAATAGCGATTGAGAGATTCCTCTTGGCCTAAAAAATGCTTCCTAAATAAATGACTGGGTAGAAGCGAGAGTCACGTTACGTGAGTTTTAGGTGGGACACGGACTGCGTTTCACCCACAGAGTCCTTCCCTGCGTGTTCCCTGGGCACCTGCCACGTCCCAGGCATCGGGCGGCAGCCTGTACGATCACTTTTCATTACACTACTTTGTTGATGAAGTTGTACTCATTAAGCACAATACCAATAGAATTCTATTCATAATAAGCAGGTAAGTTATTCTTTATATATTTGTTATATTTACATAAAAATTTATATTTCTTGGCTATAAGAATCTTAGCATTAGTGATGTTTTTAAAAATTTCCAGAATATACTTTCAATTTGGATAACCTACAGGTTCTCCTCTTTCCCTCACATTTCTGACAATGCTTAATATACAGTATAGTATACCAAAAAATGCTTAAAGAAAAAAGTCAATTTGGGGGTTGCAAACAATGAATAATAAAATTTAACATGCTATCCAATTTAATGTGTAAATCACTCAAGGAAATAGCTTTTCACAATCAGCAAATATGCAGTCCCAAGCTATCCTACACGTATCACTGAATTATTGTGCCTCATTAACTATTACCGCATTTGCTTTTAAAACTGATTCTAGTGATTTTTACACTGCAATACAGTACTCACCTTGTGTGAATCCATTTCCACTTTTAATTTGTTTTGTGCCCATTTTACTTTAATGATGTGAGAATTGATATCTTCCTTTAATTTGTCTATTTCTCTGCTGAGTCTAGCAGTTTCAGCTTCCTAAAATAATAACACTCAGTCATATTTCTCATTTAACAATCATCTAATTATTCGTGTATCCTTTTATCTCCTCAAAGTAAGACCATAATGCTATACTCCAGGAGCTGGCACGTAATGGCCTATAAGCCATAAAACTGATTTAAAGTGCAAATCATAAGATGGCAGCAAAATCCTAAATCCAATTAACAGGCATAATTAACATACTATATTTTAACAAATTAGACATGTTGCAAATACAAGCATACCTTTTTTCTTCTCAACTAGCTGGCCTTAAGATAAAACACAAATTAACTTGGTTTTTGCCAGAATTCCTGAGAACAAGGACAACATTTCTGAACTAAAAGACAATGAATAAAAAATAACATTCATCACCGAGAAATGATAATCTGCTGGAAATGAGACCATGCCTTGCGGTGACTTCTTAATGCAAGGGCTCTGAATAGCTCAGTAATTAAATCTCCTTGGAAAGCATCTAAGAACATGTTTTATTTTACAAGAAAAATATTAACTCTGTTTTATAATAAGTGCTACATTAGGATTCTGGTCAAATTATGCTTATTAAAACAAAATATATACTATGTATATATCTTGCCAAAATAAAACCTTCCTTCGAAGTACAAACCTTATTTCTTCAAGATAGATTTAATAAATTTTTTTTTAAAGATCAAAAGTTACCTAATAAATAACACATCAATTTCTCATCTTTTTCCAGTAACATTTTCTGCAGACAGGTAACAAGACATTGGAATTACTTCAGCATTCACATACTTAGAAGGTGAGGTAAACAACTTCATGTTTAATAGTGGTTCATCACAGTAAGTTATGATTATTTGATTCAATAAGAAAAAGCAAACAATAAATTTCAAATGAGATAAAAATCGCACAAGTCATACCTTTGTTTCGTACAGCTGGTGCAACCGTCCTTTCTCCTGAGAAAGCTGTTTAATTTTGTTAGTGTTCTTCTCTGATTCTTTGTTTGCATCTCTAAGCTTTCTCTCAAGTATCTCTTTTTCCTTTCGGAGGTCTAAAGATTCTTTCTCACCCCTTACGTACTTCATTACCATTGCTTCTTTTTCCTGGCGAGCCTCTTCACATTTCTTATTGGCCTTTGAAAAAAAACATCTAGCATTAATAAAAACTATTTTTCAAATAAAAATAACTGAAAAAAGTATATTTTTCTATAATATTATGAATGTATACTTTGGTTTTTGAACAACATTCCCAGGACCTGTGTCATGGAATTTTAAAGAGAAAAAAATCAAAATTATAGATAAACAATACAATAAACAAATAAATATCACCCTGGTTGGTGTGGCTCAGATGGCCGGGTGTCATCCCACAAGGTGAAAGACTGCAAGTTCGACACCTGATCAGGGCACACACCTCGGTTGCAGGTTTGGTCCCTGGTCAGACAGGGCATGAATGATGAGGAGGAAGTATTAACAGTTATAAAACAAAGAGAGGTTAAGATTAGATTCTGAAAGGAAAAAGAATTATCTGGTCATGCTAATTATTTGAGATTCTCCCTGCAGGCAATGGGAAGCCAGAGAAAGATTTATAAACCTGGACCTTTTGGTAAATGTGTCTCAGTAAGATCAAGGGTGGCCCCACAGAAGCGGCACCGAGGCTGGAAGCAGCAGAAAAAGGACAATCACACCGAATGAGGTAAACAGACGAGGTCCCTGACTGCAGTCGGAAACGTGCACCAAACACCTTGTGACTCGGAGACTCTTTCATGGATCGGCTTCCAGGGAACAACCTGGGTGCAGAGAGTTCAGGTTTCTAGGTCCCACCCCAAGTGATGGCAGCGCCCAGCTCGCCGGACTGTTGAGAGTACTGCGTCAGTCCAATGATGGCACAGGTAAAGGAAGAGGAGCCAGTAAAAATTTTGGATTTAACCAGTTTAAGATGTTTATCATTTACTTTAATGAAGATAAAGCATGAAGATGATAACAGGATTCAACAGGCAGCTAAAGTTAGGAGGTATATTAAGTAGGGGAAAAAAAGGATGTGCATTAATAAGTTACACTCAAGTAGAGGGAAAAGTGTATGAACATGTGCAATGTACCAGGTCTGTCCAGAAAGTATCCAGGCCCATACTGTGAAAAAGAGAGACATTTATTAAAGGAGACAGAAGACACAAGAAACATTGCACGTAGGACAATGATGCTTCAGTCCCCTTCCATGCAGGCACATTGAGACTTTACACAGTTCTCCCAGCCACCACCGGCTGCCCCATCATATTTCCCTAAATCTCACTGACATTCTGAAATCTCTTCCCCTTCAAAGGTGAAAAAATCACAGGGCACCAAATCTGGGCTGTAATGGAGCTGAGTCACCTTTGAGATATTTTGTCAAAAAACTCTGCATGAGACATGATGCACGAGCAGGCATGTCGTCATGATGAAGCTGCCAATCACCAGTAGCTCATAGCTGCGGCCTTCTGAATCATCCAAATAGTTTCCACAGAAGAATTTTAAAGCTTAATGCAACATTTGATGCAGATTCACTGCTCTACTCAGTCATTTTGAATGCCATGGCCACACGGTCCACATGCTCGCTCAATGGTGTGTACTCGCCCCCACTAACTAGTGCAGTGAAGTCGTCATGGTTCACCCACACACATTCCAGTCCAGTTTCCTCGGCTGCCAGGTTACACTGATGTTGTGCAAACCGTTCTCGTTATATTAACAATGGCTGGACTTTTTCTGGACAGACCCTGTATATGCGTGTATGATAATACACAGAACCGAAACATCCATTGTTAGCTATGGAACAAGGAATGGAAGGTAAACGAATTGGGAGCAGGAAGAAAGAAGTACAGATGAAGGGGGACTTGCATTTTTTATCCTACACATTTCCTTATTATTTTTTGTAGGTAGCATGTTTTTTATGTATTGCTTTAGCATTTTAAGAAGTTAATTTTTATAAAAATAAAATTACCCATTCCTAATACAACACCGATGTCCAAAATCATCTAACAAGGTTAGTTTATTTTAATAAACAAGAAAGAATCATCAGAAAGTGAATAATGATAATGAGCTGAAAAATACCTGTTCCATCCGATGGGCCATCTCCTTGTGTAACTGTTGCACTGCATTTTTAGCAGCTATGTCTTGAGCTATTAATTTATCTTTGGAAGCTTTAAGTTCTTTATTAAGTTCTTCTATTCTTGATTCTAACTGTAAAGAAAATTATTTCCAGATTATTTTTATAGCTGTACCAAACAGACCACCAATACCTCAAATAAACATAAATAATGTAAATAAGCACAAAGAATGTGATGAATATACTTCAAAAAGTAAATGTTAGCAATGTTGCTATATCTCCTTAGAATTACGATAGTATCAACTAAAGCATATTCTGGTAAGATGGATGGTAAGCTCTAGAGTAGTTTCTATGGAAACAACTCAACAATTCAGTGGCATTTCATGCTCAATGCAAAGAAAGCAGTAATGAATAAATAGGGTCACAAAAACATGAAACATAATAAAAAAAGAGATCCAAAATATGCTGTCTACAAGAGATGCTTGAGATTCAAAGAATAAATAGACTGAAAGTAAAAGGATGGGAAAAGACGTATCACACCAACAGCAATCATAAGTAAGAGTAGCTACACTAACATCAGACAAAATAGGCTAAAATAAAAAATTTTACTAGAGATAACGAAGGAAATTTTGTAACAATAAAAGGGTCAATACAGCAGAAAGATGGAATCACAAATATACGTGCACTGAGTTACACAGCATGAAAATATGTGAAGTAAAAGCTGACAGAAATGGAAAAGGAAACAGACAATTCTACAGCAGCTGAAGAAGTCAACATCTCACTCTCAGTAACTGAGACAAAAGGTTAACGAGAACACAGGGGACTTGAACAAGACGACAGAACAACTAGACCTAACGTTCCCCCAGCAACAGCAGAACATACATCCCCCTCAAGTGCACATGGAATATCCTCCAGGATGAAACACATGCTAGGTCACAAAACAAATCAATACATTTAAAATGTTGAAATTATATCAAGTATCTTCTCCAACCATAACGGAATGAAATTAGAACTCAGTAACAGAGAAGAAATTTGAAAAATTTACAACTAGTAAAAAATAAACAACACCTAAATAACCAATGGGAGAAATCACATAGGCTGTATCTAAAGCAGTCCTTTGAGGGAAATTTATACCTGTAAGTACCTGTATGAAAAAACAAAAAATAGCACAAATCAGTAACCTTAAACTTCCATCTTAAGACCCTGCAAAAAGAAGAGGAAACTAAACCTAAACCCAATAAAAAGAAGAAAACAATGAAATTAGAGAAGGAATTAATAAAATACAGAATAGAAAAGAGAAAAATCAACAAAAAAAATGGTTCTTTGAAAAGACAAACAAAACTGACAAACCATTAGCTAGATTGATCAATAGAATCTAAATGAAAGAGACATACTGAGCTTGTAGAAATAAAAAGAATTATTAACAAATACTAAGAACAATTTAACTTAGATGAAGTGAACAATTTCTAGTAAAACTGGCTGAAGGAGAAATAGAAAATCTGAATAAATCTATAAGACACTGAATTAGTCATCAAAAATAAAAATAAAAACTACACACGAAGAAAAATTCAGACCAAAGTGACTACAGATAAATTGTATCAAACATTTAATGAATTGATACCAATGCTTCACAAACTCTTCCCCCTAAAAGAAGGAGCACTTTCCAACTCATTCTGTGAGGTCAGTACTACCCAGACACCAAAGCCAAACAAAGACATCACAAGACAAAAAACCTATAAGACCAGTAGGTCTTGTAAATATAGATAGAAAAATTATCAACGAAATACTAACAAACCAATCCAGCAATATATAAAAAGAATTATTCACCATGACCAAAAGGGATTTATTCTAGCATGCCTAGGCTGGTTTAACATCCAAAAATCAATTAATGTAGTACACCATATCAACAGAACAAAAACCATTTGATCACGTCAATAGATGCAGAAAAGCATCTGATAAAATGCAACACTCTTTCAAATAAAAACTCAACAAACAGCTGGTAAAAAGCGTCTGTAAAAAACCCACAGCTGACACTGCACTTAATGGTGAAAAGCTGAACGCTTTCTCTCTGAGAACAGGGTAAGAGGATACCCACACCTGCCACTTCTAGTCACCCTTTCACTGGAGGGTCCAGCCAGAGCAGTGAGGCAGGAAATGGAATAAAAAGCACCCATATTAGAAAGGACGAAGTAGAGCTCTCTATTTGCAGATGGTAGGGTCTTATACTTAGAAAATGAGTTCAGCAAAGTTACAAAATATAATTTAAAAAATGAACTATTTCTACACACTTAAAATTAACAATCTGAAATTGAAATTAAGGAAATAATTCCATTTACAAACTGGAAGACTTGCTCCTCCTAAGACGGCAATACTCTCCAAATGAGTCTACCAATTCAGTGCAATGTCTAACAAAAACCCAGATGGCTTCACTGTATAATGACAAACTGACAGTAAAATTTGCAGGGAAATACAGGGAACTGATAATAGCCCGTCTTAAAAAGAAGAAAGTCTTAAAAAGAAGAACAAAATCCAAGAACTCACACTTCCCAGTTTTCAAACTTACTATGAAACAAGAGGAAATAAGACAGTGTGGTCCTGGTACAATGACAGACACACAGATCAGCGAAACAGAACTGAGACTCCAGAGAAAAAACCATTTATCACCTGATTTTCCACAAGATTGCCAAGACTATTCAACAGGGGAAGAACAGTCTTTTCAACAATGGTTCTGGCACAACTGGATAGCCATATACAAAACAATGAGGTTGAACCCTCATACCATATAAAAAAATTAACTCAGAATGAACCAAGACCTGAATATAAATAAAAACCAAATTAAAATGTCTTAAGAGAAAAAACAAGATCATCCTCATGGCCTTAGATTTGGCAATGGAGTCTTTTATATGATGCCAACTGCACAAGCAATAAAAGAAATAGATGAACTGACATCATCAAAATTTAAAACATTTGTGCTTTAGTGTATACTATCAAGAAAGTGAGACCACCAAACACAAAAGATGCTATTTATAAATCACACATACAGATTTAAACTCTATAATATAAAAAGAACTTTCACAACGCAACAATTAAAAAAGTAAACAAAAAATGAGAAGACTTAAATAGATATTTCCGGGTAAATAGACACTCCTATATATATACCCAAAAAGGAAGGAAAATGAAGAAAAAGGAGAGGCACGGGAAGACAAGGCTGGGGAAGGCAATTAACCAGATAAAACCTGAATTAGGATGGCCAGTCTTCACAGTGTAGTTCATATTAAACTGTAAGTTTAAAAATATTCTAATGTCACGTATACGTTTTTAGGTATATGTTGTTTCTTCTCTTAATTGGCAAAAAATGGTATATTTGATTGCCAAATTGTCTTTTCTTCTCAGATTTCTACCATGTATAGAATACAATCACAAATATCATATAAAAATAATGATTCCAACTTCATACAAGAGAATCCTTTACATACCAAGCAACCCTCTAATTTAAAATATATAAAACTTTTATTCATACACAAATTTTCAGGAATTTATTTTGTAAACTGAAGTATAGTTTTTAAAGATTTCAGTTTATCTTTTTACCTTTTTGATTGTGTTCATATGCTGTTTCTCTGTTTCTGTTCTTTTTTTCAGTTCTTCTCTTAAATTGTCTTTTTCTGAACATATATCTAAGATGAGCTCCTGATGTTTCTTATTTTCTTTAATTAACCTAATTATGAAAAGAGTAGTATAAATAAAACATAATTTAAAAAGGAGATATGGAATATAATCTGTCTGCAGATTAGGTATAGATACCTATAATTAATAAATTGACACTTCTAAGTAACACTTTTGTAATGACACATTACACTTGGAAAAAAATTTCTCTGGCCAGTCTGGCAATTAACATTTTCCTAGAAATCTGTATATTTCAAATCAAGTGAATATACTCAGATACAGAAAGAACCCCATAATCTTTTAAGTTTATTTCCTTGGACACCTCAAATATGTACCTTACCCCTTCGGCACCTGAACCTCTTCAGGTCAGCAGTTCTGAACCAGAAAATGTGGTCCCTCCAGGCATTTGTCTAAAGACATTTCTGGTTGCCACAACAGGGGTGGCATTTGCCAGTGGCTTCTTGGGGGTGGAGGCCAGGGATGCTGCTGAACATCTTACAGTGTCCAGGCCAGCCCCACCGCCGCCAAGGAATGACCTCCCCCCAACGTCAACAGTGCTGAGGGCGAGGAATCTTGCTTTAGGTTTTGAAAATATTTTAATGATACTTTAATAGTTAGAAAAGAGTAGTCCATGTAAAATAACAAAAGCTTAAGCAGAAGTTTCATTTTGTGCCCCTAGAAAAGTGTAAAATAAAACCTTAAAAATTACCTACAATAAGGTAAGATGCTAAAGGTCAACAGCTGATATTTTAGGATTATTAATAGTAACAGTTGTTACTTAGAATTTATTGCACAATTACTATTTAAGTTTAGCTCTAAGTGCATTATTTCATTTAATAGTCATCTATGTAAATAATTCTTTTTTCATGAATAAAAAAATCCTGAAGCCTAGCACTTGTTCTAGTTCATAGAGCTAGTAAGTGGCTGACCTGAGATTTGAGCCCATGTCTAATTTCTACAGCCCAGGCCTTTACATCTTCTACTTTGAAGATCTCTTATTCATTCAACGAATGCTTACTGGGAACCTACAATGTATCTGTATTATTCTGCATGTTAAAAGTATGTCAGCAAATTGTCCCTGCCCACATTCTAAGGGAAAATATTAAAATAAAAAACAAATAGGTGCATAACAAAATGCCAGGTAGTAGGTAAGTCCTATTAGCAAAACTAAAGGAGGGCAAAAGAACAGAGAGTAAGTAACCTGCGCTGTGATTTCAGGTAAGGTAGTTGGGGTTGACCTCTCTAAGGACCACAGGGCTACAGCGAGGAAGCAAGGCCTACAGACATTTGGGAAAGAGAAAAGTGTAGCGCGCAAGTTTATTCAAGCCTTTTTTGTCATGATGGTTTAACTTAGATTATTTACATAAGGTGTGCACTCAATTTGTTGCAGAAGCACAAGAATCACAAGTAAACAATTTAGGAGGGGGAAACTAAAATTATTCTTACATGCCAAATGCACACCCTATTCGCAAACTGTCGTTAATTAAGAATTCTGGTTGGGACCTTGGAAAATAATGTTAGTATGAGAAAATGGGGGAGTGGATATAATAAACAAAGACATGTGGCTATAGATGCATTCATGAAAATTTAGGCCAAAGGAACTGAAACGCAGTTTTAGACCTAACCTGAGTCATGAAGTTTTTCCTTTGGAATTAAAATTATCATGTGTGTAACAAAAGATTAACCTAGATTTAAAAATGACAATATCTGACATTTTCATAATGCCTTAATGTACACAAAACAATGTCATCAGGTAAGTATCATCCACTCACACAGAAGAAAAATCTTTGACTCAGAGAGGTTGACTTAACCAATGAAAAAGAGCTCGCCAACGGCAGTGGGCCCTTCCCACTCTAGGGTTCTGACCAGGACCGTGCTTGCCCCATCTGCCGTGCTGCTACTGGTCAGACAGGACACAGTAAAAAAGAGGAATGAAACTTACCTGAAAACATTCAGAATATAAAGTAAAAAACTAGTAACTTGTAACTAGTTCATTTCAGATACCAAATGAAAAGTCCTCTGAAACCAGACTAACTAGGCTCAGATTCTAACTTTACCATTTATAGGAATGTGACCTTGAACAAGTGCTTAATCTCTTTGTGCTTCAGGCACCTCATCTACAAAATAATAATCGTTCATGCCAAATAGGGTTATTGTGAGGATTCTATGAGTTGATATACATAAAGTACCAGGCACATAATCAACAGTGTGTGTTTGTTGCTATTATTATTAAAAGTAAATCTTATCATTTACAAGAGAGGCGTGAAAGTGATTAAGAGTCCAGATCTAGCCCTGGCTGGAGTAGCTCAGTGGATTGAGCGAGGGTTGGGAACCAAAGTGTCCCAGGTTCGATTCCCAGCCAGGGTACATGCCTGGGTTGCAGGCCACAACCCCCAGCAACCGCACATTGATGTCTCTCTCTATATATCTCCCTCCCTTCCCTCTCTAAAAATAATTAAATAAAATCTTTAAAAATTTTTAAAAAGTATACACTTAAAAAAAAAACATTAAAAAAAAAGGTCCAGATCTAAAAAAAGTGGGAAGAGGCATAAGCGATAATCTCAAAGGGAAGGTCTAAAAGAACAGCAGGAAAATGAGGTAGTTACGCTAAAAGGCAAGAACAGCAGAAACACTGAGTTCAAGTACAAAGTCATACAGTTTATTCGTAATAGCAGAGTTCCAGGAACAATGTGAGTGGGCATAGCGGCCATTAATTTGGGGCAGTGTTCTAGCAAAAGGACCTTGGAGTCTCAACAGATTTGTACATTCATATTCACAGCAGCATTATTCACAATAGCCAAAAGGTGGAAGTGACCCAAATGTCCACTGATGGATGAATGGATAAACAAAATGCGGCCTATTACATACAACAGAATAGAGTTCAGCCTTCAAAAGGAAGAAAATTCTCACACATGCTACAGCATGAATGGACCTCGAAGACACCTGCTAAGTGAAATAAGCTGGTCACAAAAAGGCAAATTACTGTATGATTTCACTTATATCAAGTTATCAAGAGGAGTCAAACTCTTATAAACAAAGTATAGTTGACCCTTGAACAACATGGGGGATGGGGCACACATATCCACCCCCCCGGGGCAGTCGAAAATCTATGTGTAACTTCTGACTCCCCAAAAGCTTTACTAATAGCCTGCTGTCGACAGGAAGCCTTATCGATAACATACGCAGTAAATTAACAGATATATATATGTATTATGTACTGCAATCTTACAATAAAGCTAGAGAAAAAACGTTAAGAAAATCACAGAAAGAAAAAATACATTCATAGTACTGTATGTATATATTTAGATACAAATCCATGTAAAAGTGGACGATCCACATAGTTCGAACCCAAGGGTCCACTGTAGAATGGTGTTTGCTGGGGGCAGAGAGCAGGGGGAAATAAGAGCTGTTTAATGGGTACAGAGTTTCAGATTTGCAGGATGAGTAAGCAAAGGAATTCAGCTGCATGACAATGTGAATGTAACATACTTAACACTACTAAACTGTATACTTAAAATGGTTAAGATGGTAAATTTTGTGTTGTGCATTTTATCACAATTTGAAATAAAAATTAAAAAATAATAAAAAAGAGGGGCTCTGGATGCTAAAAGATTAAAGTTCATTGGATGAACCAATGAAGGTGAGCTGGTTTGGGAAAGACTGATCCAGTGAGCAAGATAATCTGAAATAGTCAAGACTGGAAGCAAGTTATGATTAAAGACCAATTACATGTCCAGCAGTCTTTGAATTAAGCTACATTTTCTTCTGTCATCCCCCTCTGGTATGTAAACTTCCTCCCCTTCTTTCTCTACACAGACACACCTCCCATTCAAGGGTCACGTCTTAAAAAGAGACTCAGCCTGTATTTTAGGGAAGGCTGGCAGGTTTTCCTTTCTTAAAGGCTATAAAGTAGCACCTTTACACAGGCACCACTTCCATGAACCCAGAATGAAAGCACAGGGTGATATAACACTATTAGGAAAAGATAAAGTGAAATTAAACGCGTTAAAATAAAAATTAACCCCACAAATACAAGAAGTCTAAAAAGAACTAGACTATTATTTACCGAGTGATAAATTCTTCTGTTAGCTCAATTTTAATTTTTTAAACCAATGAATTTACAATGGGGATTTTAGAAAAATTATTTTGAATTTTATGACTTCTCATTTCCTTTGGAAATACTTAGGATTTTTAAAAAAAGATTTTTTTTTTATTTTTAGAGAGAGTGGAAGGGAGGAAGAAAGAGAAAAAAACACTGATGTGCTAGAAAAACATCGACTGGTTGCCTCTCACATGCTCCCAAATGGGGATCTGGCACGTGCCCAGGCGCGTGCCCTGACTGGGAATTGAACCTGTGACCTTTCAGGTCACAGGCTGGCACTCAGTCCATTGAACCACATCAGCCTGAGCTGAATTACTTAGTTTTGTAGAGTATTTTGACAAGATGCTCTATATTTTTTCAAAACTGAAAAATTTTAGTTGTCTTTCATAAATATTTCTAGATCTTTAATACATGTATACTATTTAATAAAATATCCTGTTAGGTTTATATATTAAAACATATAAAACAGAACATAACTTTTGAATCATATTCCAAATACTGACTTTATATATACATATGTTTACATAAGCTGATGTATGACACAGGTATATAATATATACAGAGGTGGGCAAAAGTAGGTTTATAGTTGTACATACACAACATACAGAGTTTATTCTTGTATTATTACTTAGTATTATATTACTTATTCATATTACAACCATAAACCTTGTGCCCACCCCATATAAAAACACTGATGTATACCTGTTATTTCTAAGATAATGAAAATAAAATACCATATTCTAAAAAAACAGACATAAATTAAATAACTAGACAAACTGGACATCTGCTTGATTATTGAGTAAATACATATTTGTTGACTAACCACGAAGTGCGTGGCTCTGCTGTGGAACTAAAAGTGGACAAGATGATATCTTCCTTTAAAGAATGCCATCTTTACTCCCTATGGAAAAAAGTCACCCGCGAGAATAAGAAACTTACTTCTTTATGGTGTGTTCCTGTTGCAAATACTTATCTTGCACACACTTTTCAAACATAATTAATGCATGTTCTCCCTTGTTCATTCCATTTGGTACTCGATGCTCCGCAAAATCTGTAGATAAGAGCTCAGATTCTATTTCTTCCAACAAATCCTCTGATGCTGAGACATTCCTTATTTCTGAAATAAGTTTCTTGGTGCAGTCTGTGTCATAGGGACTTTCTGAGTAAGTCTTATGACCAGCTGCCGCGGTAAAGGTAGGAGATGCTAATTCTGCCAGTATCTGAGTTACTGTCTGTTCTGTTTCGCTTGGTTTAGAAATTTGCTTTGTAAAATCTCCTCCAGGAAAATCAGGCGTTTGTTCAGAATGTTCCAGGCATGCGTCCGTTTTACCACGGGAATGCTCACCTCCACCATGATCTGGTACATAATTTTCCTGTGCTTCAGTCTGATTATTGTGCTCATCGGCCCGACATGAAGTTTTATCCAAGGCTAATGAGGACGGTTCGGACTCGTTTTCTAAGCCGCTGCCTCCGCCACCAGAAAACGGGCGGCAGGCGTCTCCCCTCGGGGCAGACGCTTCCCCAGTCCTTCCATCGGAGGGCGCGGGGGCCGCGCGGGCCGCGTGCTCCGTCTCCGACATGCTGCCTGGCACCGATGTAGCCGCGCTCCTTCCAATCCGCTCCTGATCTTCGTCTTACATCTAAGAAAGTCAAAACACCCAAATTTAAAAAGGAGTTTTTGAAAACCAAGACCCCATACGTACACACGAAGGCCACAAACTGACCACTAATTATTCTTTTAAAAGCCATTCTGGGGGGGGGGGAACAGGACACCCGTCCAAGCGTGCCACAACCACTGGGGCACCACAGAGTCTCGTCCTCTGTCCTCCTTCGGCTCAGCCTGCTTCAGGCTGCATGCTGGCATTCCTCAGCTACCCCCATAAAATGTGGGTACAGGATAAGACTAGTAATTGGAAGATTAGTGCCAAGGAATTGTTTCGAATTCCTTCAGCTCCACAAGAGGAAAAGGAGCATCTCAAGAATCTGTACGAAAATACTGGGGAAGTCAGACAGCAGTGAAAACACCAGAAGAGGAGTTGCAAAACAAAGGAATAAAACAAGACACGTTACTACTTGGGGTGGTGAACACACAATACAATATACAGATGATGTATTATAGAACTGTACACCTTCAACCTACATAATTTTATTAACCAATGTAACTCCAATAGATTCAATTAAAAAAAAAAAGTATTACCAATGTCAAAAATTTGCTGAGAAGGAAAACGAAACAATAACCAAGTACAGTTACCTACAGCCCAAACACCTAAAGTGGAACTGAAAAAAAGTTACAGTATAAAGGATCCCTGGCAGAAACTCGTTTTCCATCCAGGCTGGGATCCAGGAAGTACCGTGGTGATTTCTAAGCACATTCATCAAGAATAAGAAATTCTCAGTGCAACACAAACAGAGGCCATATGCACCGCCTACATTTTGTAAAAGCAGCGTTCACAAAACTAACCTCAACCATGTTATAATACATTTGTATGCTATATATGAGGGTTACTATTCCAGCTATTTCCTGAAAATAACAACTTCAAAATTATCCTAGGACAGATAAATTTAAAACATTCCAGCAATCTTTATTTAAAAAAGAGGGAACTGTTAACTTCTTTTGTCAGATACCAACAGAGCAGATGAATTACTAGAGTCATATCAAGTTGAGTGAAAATGTAAGATCACAGTTTTGGCAAAACTAGGAAGGAAATAACTCCAGATGGAAGGTGAACTTATGAAAAACCAAGCAGAAAGATTAAAGTTTTGAATAAACAGAAAGATACATGTCCGCTTTGGTCTGTGGCAGAGGCGGTGGCCCGAGGCGGGGAGAAGATGACCAGGCGGGACGCTCAGGATGACAGACGGAGTGAATCTGGTTAAGAACAGCCAATCAGGACTGACTTGTACATACCTGATCAACCTATAGTACTTGTAGCGTAGAGTGGGTTCTCAAATGTTTGTCGAATTAAAACACAGTGTGACATGATATAACTAGTACTTGAGGAATATTATTCTAGGGATGCAGAAAACAGGAAGAATAATACTAAGAAAGGAAAAGAAGACCAGTTTACTTGTCAAATACTCAGCCTTTTAATTTAGATTGTCCTTTGAGGTATCAACTAATATTGACATTGGCCTTAATACTGAGAATTACCTAACTGTAAAATATATTTCCAAGTAATCAAATGGAAATTTTCATTCTTTTCCTGTATATGTTGCAACTAAGGCAAAGTCCACACTTGTAATAAAGTTTGATTTAGACAATATAAATAAATGCAGTAAGTTCATAATTAAGACCTCACAAGTATGCTGTATTCCAAAATCTAGGAGAAAGTAAAATCATTCTCAAACTCTCTATATACCTATATTACCTTCCATTAACTTAATGTAACTCACTTTAGGATATAACTTGAGAATGTGTGGCTGTTGAACTTGAACTTTTAATTTAGACATTAAAAGCTAACAAAGGAAGTAGTTTTAAACATCGTAACCAGTCCATCCTTTACTGACCCAGGTAGAACTCAGGGCTGACCAAAATGTAATGGGCTGCAGGCAAGGAAGCTTACAGAGTAAGTCTATACAGGCACTGTGACTCTCCAGAATACACAGAGTGAGAAGAAACTCAGTCATTTGAGAACTTCATGAATCTCCACTGTGTGTCAAGCTTTGTCAATAAAATAAAAGCACTAAGCAAGGCATTAGTCGTATCCTCTCGTCCCGTTGTCACATTCTCCAGGGTTCCAGTCCTCGACTTTGTTTTCCCTCCCTCGGTTCACCCACTCCAGTAACTTGAACTAACAACTCACAGTCGATGCCCGCATCATTTTCAGTCCTGTGTTCTTGAGTTAATGAAGTATCCATACATTCCTTTTCACTCTGTATCTGGCATTAAAATCTCCACCTGAGTACAGGACTTTCCATGGAATGTTCCACCATAACCTCACACTCAAAATGGCTATATCTAAAACCGTAAGTACCTCCAATGATTGAACACCCCCAGCTAATCTTTTCTGTCCATGGTGCTGTTTTTCTCAGTCACGACCCCTTCCTTTCCTTCGTCCTCTTCTAACACTTTCTCCTTTCTGCTGTCATCGGCCCCACCTGCACCCCAATCCAGGCTTGATCACTCCATAACTGGGACACTTGAATTGTTCAACCTCACTCCATTCCTCCCTTCTGTCTTCCTACAGCTCCAACTAGAGGATCAAGGTTAATTAAAGGACAAGTGGCTGGAGACAACACTAGGGCAAGTGTCATCCCATCCAAAGAAGGAATGGAGATTTTCAATATCATTGGCTCTGCAGAAAGGCAATAGAAGGGCCCTATGAAGTGGGTCCCCGACTGCAGAAGGGGCCAGGAAACAACAACATTGCCCCTAAATATACCCACACACAGACCCTCCCACAGACCCCACCATCAAGTGCAACCGGATGAATTCGAGTGAGGCCAGGGCTATCTCTTCCCCCTTTAGAGGTTCAGGCAATGAGAGCTCTGTCCCATGGACTGGTCTTTCCCCCCACCCCCCCACTCCGAAAGGGCTAGCTAGAGAAAGGACAGGGAACGTATTTTAGAGCCAGATTACACCTGTTCTTCAAGCCAAGCCGCTGGGAACTAAAAGCTTCCACTTCTCTTCGGGGAGAAAAATGTGTTTGGCTTTTGTGGCTCATTTTTGTTTTTTAAATTACTGAAATGTGTTTTAATTTCTGCAGTAAGTTTTTTTTAGTAATCAAAAGTGGCAGAAAGGTTATGACATCAAACCAAGACATTATTAAGGGACCGCAGTTCAGAGGGAAGATTGGAGCATGTCACACGGTGTGACTAGAGACCCAGGAAGGAGAGGCAACAACACACGTTTCATGTCCAAACCTCAGGGTTGTGATTCCTCCAGCAGACCAGCTGTCCTACTTTTCCAAGGTCATCTCTCAGCCCATCTCTAAAACCCTAGTACTTCCCTACCCTCTACTGTGACCCTGCCCTGACCAGTCTACTCTCCATGGCTTTGCTCCTCCCACCAGAACGGCCTTCCCTCTCTTTTCTCCAGAGCACAATTACATTTAAAGGAATGACTCTAACGCTGCATCTTCCTCCATTTTTCCGTCATCACAGCACAGAAATTATCTCACATAAATGAAAGCATATTGCATTTATCCTCCTCAAGCAGAGCCACAGCCTTCCTTGTGACATTTCTTTTAAATGATCTGTGTACCTGGGAGGAGGAACTTCACTCAAAACTGATTCACACTTCTTAAATCTCAAACAACAGTAACAATAAATAGGTAAATAAATCTAACAAATATATCCTCTACCACATTTACCCTCATTCTTGCGAATGCTGTTCAGTAGTTTTCAATGAGGGTGGGACCCACGGGGTTTGCACGATAGTCTGGGGGCCCGAACAGCATTTAGCGGATGGGAACCAGGTTGCAACGAGACTCACAATGTGCAAGACCACAGGGAACAACAAAACTTTGTCTCAATCTGCTAGATATTCATCTAGGTTAAAAAAAACACCTGCTTTCATAATTGCCTCAGCTTAGACGTTTTACTATTATCCTCCTATAAATTACAGAACGCTTAGTGTAACCTCAAAAGACAAGTACTTCCTATATACTGTTGCTCAGTACTATGCCATGACCTTTGAAAAAGTCTTCATATAAAATGGCATCTGATAACCAGTTAGCTTTCAAACTTTGTTTTCTGATGCTTAACCAAAAGTGGAGGCAAACGAAAAAGGAGAGGGGTTAATAAAGATCCATGTACATATACATACAAAGCCATCACCAAAGATGGAATAACGATACAATGAGCTTGACCATGTCCATGGTCAACTAGGGGAAAAACAGCTGAGTCTCGCTGGCCTCCACTTGGCAGTGCTGATGTAGGCCAATTTGGCTGCTGTCCAAGATTTGGGGGTTGGGGGAGGGAGGGTTGCCATCAAAGCTACTGAGGATGGAACAATCTAGAAGTAAATTAAAGAGGGAGGATGTAAAACTAGACACCTGTTTACAAGATTGTTTTAATAAGTGCTTGTATAAATTAACATATAGATATAGTGATTACAATTATAGATTATAATATATATCTTTTGCTTTAGAAAATAACATAGATTACTTGACTTTCAGCAACTACAACTCATTAGGGGAAAACACTGTATTTAAAAGTTAGCACAGCCACAAAATCCTCTTAATTCAGCACCCCCCCCCACCCACAGCAGTGTGTTTCTGACCCAGTACTACAGGACCAGTTCGCACCTCTCAACTGTTTCAGTGCAGTGAGAACTGGTTTCGCTCTGACTGGAGCTCATCAGCTGTAGGCAACTGGTCAAGAAACATTTTTTATTTGTCTAAAGCCAACCATTATCCACCTTGGATTTTATTTCTTAAGGAAGAACTCACATTCCTACAAAATTATTTCCACACAAGAGCCATATAAATGAAAACACTGTCTTTAACAGCTTTGTTTTCCCAGTAAATTAGCATTATAAACAACAAAAAACTTAAGCTTATTCAACAAATTGCAAATACAAATGAATCCAACACACAGATTTTGGTACCAGACTTCATACAAACGTGACAAAGTCAGAAATACATTCCCAAACTAGATATTAACTCATTTGCCAAAAATGTATTGAGCATATATTATGTGCAGGCACTGATCTACGTTTTGGGAGCAAAGCAATAAATAAGCCTTCTTTTATGGAGTTTACATTCTGATATAGCGGGCCAATACATAGAAGCTCTATGTCAAATCTTTTCTTCTTTGTGCTTCTAGTACTTTAATTTGAAGATCTGTCAGTGTATCTGTACAAGTGTGTTTTAAGTCCAATAGAAAAATCTCAGTTCAGTATAAATATTATTTACAAAAACCACTAATTTTTAAATTATAAACTGTACCATTTACATCTCAAATACTACAAGGGCATACTTTTCACAAAATTTACATTAAGATAAGCAAGTAAAGCCTGTGAGAGCATTCCTGTTTTTCAATTTAATGGTTTACCATCTTTTGAAGGACAAATACATCAAAAGGGTTTTTTACAGTGTCTCCAAATACACTTTGAAAGCAGCATAATCAAATAAATAACTTTCTGAGGAGTTCTAACAAGGTTCTGATGTGGCAATTAAAATCAGAAGCAATACAGTGAATAAAAAATCATCCACAGTCCAACAGTCTGATCTCAATCCCTGGGTAAATGAATTTTAATTTAACTTTAAAATACAAATGCTTCCCTGGATAAAGTTTTTAAAAAGAGAATAAAATAACAGGACAGAAAAGAACCCATGTAAAAAACATGAAAACCTTGTTTCACAAGGTAAAATATCTGACACTGTAAAGTTCACAGAAGGTGAATTTATGCAAATCAAATTCTTCTTTTAAAATTAAAAACTGAGCTGGCCTACTTCAAAGAAGTATAGATTAGTATGATCAAAAGAAAGAAATATTTGTAAAGCAGTCAGATTCTAATTAAGCTTTTGGGTAAAATTTAATATATTGAATTTCCTTTACATGAAATATAATCATTGTACTCTAAAAGTTGCCTTTAGTCACCAGTTTAAAATGTATGTTTTGTGAGCCTGAGGTCAATTATACCTATAGAGGGTTGTTAATCTTTGCACCTACTGGGCAGAGTGAATTTTTCAGTATGTGCATTATATCACACACACACACACAAAGACACTACGAAGACTCGAAGCAATCATTACAGCAGGATCTCTCGCAAAATAGGACCAAATCCTGCGACAGAATAACAGGAGAAACAGAAATTATGGTCCATCAAGATTCCAGGATGAAGAGGGTAAGGGGCCACAACACGTATCACATGATGAAGTTATATGTTGTATTATCAGCTTGGTGTCTTAGGTCCCTGCAATTTTATGTATCTCTAATAACTTTTAAAGCACAAAGTTATTACTATAGAAACCTTAGTTTGAAGCTAGTTGTATAGAGTTCACAATTTGAATTTTAACGAGTCTAAGAAAACAAAGTATTTTCTGCTCATTTCCCCCCCAAATATGAAAATTAAAAGGAAAAAAATTTGACCTACAGTTCCCTATACAAAAAGGAAGGCTAATAATCTCAACAACAAGAACAAAAAAAGAGTGGGGCGGGACTTGTAAGTCTGACTTACATTAAGGAGTTCTGATTAATGTTTAAATTTGAAACTACCTTTGGCCTGGGCTTGGTAGGATGCAGTCTACCAAAAAATCAAATTACTCATTAGCACTCACTACATAAACATCCCTGCAGGAGACTATCAGTTCGCATCTCTTAATGACAAATACATTCACAATCCAACCCATACTTTCCTCTGCTAGGTTTAATTTCCACTATGTATCTGTTGCCCTTTCACCCTAATATTTTTCCTTTTGTTTACTTCTTAGCCCAAATAGAGATTTAAAATCTCAGCAACTGAGAGAAAAGTTCAAAGGACAAATCTGAAATAATATGATAAGATTAGAGGTTTACTTGTAAATTTTAATTATTTATGCTCCCACGGTTGCCCTGAAAGGAGTATTAAATATATCATTCACAGTACTGTAAGCTCACTGTCATGTTTATGAGAAATCTGAGAATTGACTTTAGTGAATTAAAGCTAGAGATAATAACAGAAAAATCTAAATTTTATTCAAAGAAAAAAATAACAGAACTTAAGGCTAAGGATTCTTTAACATGAAACTATTTGATGGATTTGAAAAACTAGAGCAGAATACTAGTTATTTTTCAAAGGCAAAGATGATTTTTCTAAGTCTATAAATAAGGCTGCTCTGCCCTATCATCTCTCCCTAAAGAGTGAGATGCTGCACTGTTTTATCTCCACGATGTCAGAATGCAGTGTAAAGAGATGTTCTTAAGAATCATGCTGTCATTATGTAGCATCAAAGAGCAACTCATGAGTTTATGGGTGAATGAATAAAAGGTTATAGATGGGTCACTGTGCTACACCAGTCCTTTTGTGTTAGCAATAAGTAAGTCTCTGGAATCTCCACTATTTAAAGAAACCTTCAAGTTTATATGCAGGTATTCTGAATTAGACACGGTCTTAAAAATAAAATATAAACACAATCCATACATTTCCAAGGAATAAAAACAATATAAATACAAACAGGGAATTTCCAGGTAGATTCTTCAGTAATTATACATGTTTGCCTATTACAATGTCAAAAGGAGTTTTAATTCTTTAACTTCTGCAAGATTTGGAAATTACCCAAAATCATCACTGAATTTTAAACAACATGAAAAGATCATAAAGGGAAAAAAGAATGTGGCCAATCATAACTGTTTTCTACTTGTATAATGGTGAATAAAGAATTGAAAAGTAGCTGTACAGACAGAACAGTAAACTTGATACACAAGCAGATACTCCAGTTTCACTCTCAATGTCTTTAGAACCTTAATCTTTCCCACAAGATCAACACTGCAAATATGAAGGTGTAGTTAGCAGTTGGGAAGGCTACACCCACTAGCATACCTAGACACTTAATAGACCTTTCCCCACCCCCTCGAATGACTACCAGCACATCTCCTGAAACATTGTTCCACTGACTGCACATTTTCCTGGGAAAAACTCCCGCCCTACCATTTTGGGCGAAATAAAAAAACTGGGTATCAAGGGAACGTGACACAAGCACAGAGAAAACTGCCGAAATGCCTGGGACAGTGTGGCGTATCTTTACTGTACTATCTTATTCCCAAGCTAAGTAGACTATCAAGTGGAAGAGGCAGTTTCTAACACTTATGTTACGACTCCAAAGACCGGCCTCTCTCCTCAAAACAAAATCAAGATGTGACTATTAGCTGAACTTACTAAACTGTTAACAGCTGAGCTATAACCACACCTGCACTGTTCCCCAGGATTGCTACTATGGGACCTGTTGAAGGAGCTTTACCATTTTTTTTTACACGTTGGGTAGAAACACAAATGTGAAATATCCTCCCTACCAGCCAAGGTTTATCACATGTCTTGATATCTTTGGAAGAAAGGCAACATAAAAACAAAGACCACATCTCTCACGGTCACAATCCCAAACAATTGTCTCTGAGTTACTTAAAATCACAGTAATGGCAGTGTTCAGAGGAGCGCAGAAAGTGGCCACAACAGTAAACATAAAACACACACACAAAAACACAGTCAACTTGAGCACAAGATAAAAGAAATAGGCGACTGAGTGTTGGAAAGATCGGCGAGCAGGCGGGGCTGAGCTGCAGTTCGCACTGGGAGGCCAATCAGCCCAAATTCCGCCACTCTCCAGCACCGCTCAGGAGGCGCGGGCCCCACGACCCCCGACAACCCCTCTAACCGCGTGACCCTGGCAGCCCGGGACCGAGGGCCAGAGGGAGGGAGGGAGAGGGACCACAAACTCCGTCCCCCAGAGCCCGCCTTCTATCAGACGGGGCCAACCCGGGCATTTGCAGGACAGCGTGCAAGAGGGGCAGCCCCGCCGCACCGCCACCACGACTCCCCGGTCTGCCCCGGGCGCCCCTCGGGCACTCACCCCACTTTTGCGAGCCTCACGCCGTACCCCTAACGCGGCCGGCAGAGCTCCAGCTTACGGACCAACTTCTCCATTGCGGGGTGCAGCAGACGAGGAGCTGCGGGGGCCGGCGATGGGGAAAAAGGGCGGACACCGCACTCTCCCCGCCTGCAGCTTCCCCAAAGACCCGCTGAGCTGACACATCAACAAAGATGGCGGCGATGCTGAAACCGGCCCTGCTACAGCTGAAGGGGCGGGGCTCCCTGGGGGAGCCAATCAGCGCGGTGCGGCCGGTGTGACACACGCTCTTTGGGGCCAATGTAACCTGCCTGCAGGGGGCGGCCGGCCAAGCGCCGCCTTCAGTCCCAGAGTCGCCAACCTGGCTTTCAGGGCACCCACGCCCGGGTGAAGCCGGTTCTGCTGTATCTAGTCCCGTCCTACCTCTCGCGTTCCTAAGGAGCCAAGCGAATTACTTCTTCCTGTAGGATGCGCCCATTGGATGTAATACTCCTCACCCTTGGCCCTCCCTTGTATTAGTCAGGAGCATAAAGCAATAAAAGAGAATTCGAAATTCCGACTTCCCAGCTGTGATGCGCAAACCTTACACCTGACGTAGGCGGAGTCATCAGGAGTAGCCTAGCTGTCCTCTGACAATTCATTCTCTGTCGAGTCTCTGGGGGTTTCCGTGATACCACGTTCCTGTGCACAGCGCGGCACCTTCTACCATTGTTTGATAATAAACTGCTGGTGCGTTCGCGTCTGGCACCGACTGTAAGCTGCTTGAGCACCGGGTATCCCAGCAGGCAGCATGGGTTTTGACATGCAGGAGTTGCTGGATAATTAGCAACGAAAAAGTGATGGGCTTTGGGGGAAGTGTATGGAATACAGTGGCCTATTTAGGTCTGAAGAAGTCAGGTGAGCAGTTCCAGTTTGTGGAGATGTCACAAACCTACTCTGGCCGGTGAAGTAATGTTTTTCTGGTTTAGGGCTTCTTATGCACAGCTCATGAGTGAAAACAGTGAATTCTGACAGTGGTCAATACACGTGTTTGTCAAGCAAAACTGTTACGAAAGGACGAAGGTCTCAAGGTCTGGACAGTGCTAAATGTCATTTCTTGCTAAATGTTCAAATATAGCGCAGTTTTTATAGATGTAGCTGTAAACAGGATGAGCTGATAGGAGCTTAACTAGATGAAAGTAGGCAACTGCAAAGAAGAAATTAATATGTGGGTGATGAAATAGTATATGTAAGGAACGGCTAAGCCTTCCTTTTGAGCAGGCACAGCTTTGTATACGAATCCCAGTTCCTTTACTTGCTGCTAGCAAATAAAACGACTTTGTGATGGTTGTCCTGTTTTTTTTTTTTTTTTCAAATAGATTATACCAAGCAGTGAACCGCTTGAGTTCAGTTCAGCAACCCAAGTTCCTACCATTCTGTTCAGCTTTGTTACTAACTGCTGGCAAAATAAAGAGAGGGAGGGAAAGAGAGAAAATAAAGAAATCATGTTAAAAAAAAAGTTATGTAACTCTCTTCCTCTTTCCTTTTAAACGGGAAATGGCACCACCCTCCTTCAATGAAGATACTGCATTAAAACACTTTTGTAGTTGACCAACTATTCTGAGTGAGAAATATTATTCCAAGGGGAAAAACTGAAGAAGCTTTAATCTTTTTATAGTACTCATTGCCAGTAATAACTTTCATATTTTTATTTCTGAAATATATATTATATTAGTATAAAACATATAAGTAATTATGCCTTCCAGAAACCAAAATTTTCAGTACTGGGGAAATGAGATACAAATATAAAATCAAATTAAGTAAAAACAAACCCCACAATTCCAAATTTGAATTTAGAAATATCTGTATAAACATGTGGGGCATTTTTGTCATTAAAAAAAAAAGTCTATACACTGAAAAGGCTGAGTACAGTGGTCAATTCAATGCTCCAGACTATCATCTCTAAATATAATTTCTCACAAAAAGATTCACCTGGGCTCCTGTTAGAGCTCAAGAGCTGATTCTAAGTGTGGGACAAAAAATATACAAGAAAGCCTAGATCATGTTGGTTGTACCAGAAAAGAAAGAAGAAAACCAAGAAAATAGGAGTTGGGTCAAAAAAAAAAAAAAAAACCCCAAAGAGGCAATTTAAAGGTGCTTCCACAGTTCAGAGACAATTTTCTCATTTAAAAATAACAACAGCAATCAATTAGGACATATCTAGTATGTTAAAATCAATAAATGTGCTGATTTTCCAAAACATCATTGGTCACCTCTGGAGGACACTAAGGAATCACCACAATCTGAAAACAAAAGAATTAAGCATCCTACCTTCCCTGTTGCAAAATGAATCTGAACAGTTGATGTGGGAAAGTTCTTTATAGATTTCCAGGTACCACATGCAGAAGAGAAACTATTACCATTTTGCAAATCTTGATGAAATAATGGATTTAGGTAATGATCAGCAGTGAGTCTATAATAACTAGGTGAAAAGCTGATGGGAAACTTGATAGTGGATGGTTGGGATTGACAACACTTGAAACTGCTAGAAAAACTTTAATATTTTCCAAAGAGAACAATTAGATATTAAGCATCTTCTGATGTGATGCAATAGAGCAGCGATTTTTCAACCCACATGCCATGGCACACTGGTGCGCCACAAGAATTTTTAAAACATGGAATACCTGACTAGTCAGGGGCACTGATCTCTTTTCACTTACATGGTCAAATTGAAAAATGACAACAAGGAACACAAAAATTGCTGTCTGGTATGAATGAATCAAAATTATACCTATATTTTAGTCAGATAGGCAAAAATATATGTATTTCTTCGTGTGCTGCAGAACTTTAGTAATTAGTTTATTTGTTCCATGAGATGAAAAAGGTTGAAAAAATTGCTACAATAGAGGATTACAATACCATCTATGAAGTACTCTTGCCAGAGGGGATGCAATCAACAAAATCCAATGTCAGAAAAACTAGTTACCTCACTATAGAGTGAGTAGAGTAAGTATAGAGTAGAGTAAGATAATTAAAGGTAAATCTCAAAGGTGAATTCAAAGATAAATCTCTTTTTAAAATACATAATGCAGACTTCCGGCCAAGATGGAGGCCTAGAGAGATACACTTCCCCTCCTTGCACAACCAAAAGAAGGACAAATTTAACAACAAATTTAAAAACCAAAAAAACCAGAAGTGCCAGAAAATCAAACTGTATGAAAGTCCGATGACCAAGAAGTAAAGAAGAAATATTCATCCAGGCCAGAAGGAGGGGCGGAGACAGGCAACTGGGCAGAGAGGACTCGCAGCAGGGCAGCAGTTGATGGACCAGGTGAGGTGGTGGCTGGCATAGTGGGCAGTCCCACATTCATGTGCAGATAGACCAGGAGGAACAACTGGGGAGCAAAACAGACTGCACAACCCAGGGTTCCATGCAGGGAAATAAAGCCTCAAAACCTCTACCTGAAAAAACCTGTGGGGTTGAGGCCTCCAGCCTCACAGGAGAGTTCACTGGGTCCTAGAATGTACACAAAACCACCCACCTGGGAATTAACACCTAAAAGGGCAAAATTTGCTTGTGGGTAGCAGTGGAAGTAATTGAAAGCCGACCAAGAGCGGGGCAAGTGGTACTGTTCCCTCTCGGACCCCTCCCCCACATACAGCAGCACAACTCAGCCAGGTGGGTTGCCCCACCCTGGTGAACACCGAAGGCTCTGCCCTTTACTATGTAACAGGCTCACAGGGACAAAAAAAAAAATAATATATATATGTATATATATATATGTATATATATATATGTATGTATATATGTGTGTGTGTGTGTGTGTGTATACATATATATATGGCCCAAATGAAAGAAGAGATCAAAGCTCCAGAAAAATACAACTAAGCAATGAAAAGATAGCAAACCTATCAGATGCAGAGTTCAAAATGCTGGTAATCAGGATGCTCACACAAATGGTTCAGTATGGTCGCAAAATAGAGGAAAAAGTGAAATAAAGGAAAATGTACAGGGAACCAACAGTGAAGGGAAGAAAACCAGAACTCAAATCAATGGTTTGGAGGAGAAGGAAGAAATAAACATTCAACTGGAACAGAATGAAGAAACAAGAATTTGAAAAAATGAGGAGAGGCTTAGGAACCTCCAGGACAACTTTAAACATTCCAACATCAGAATCATAGGGGTGCCAAAAAGAGAAGAGGAAGAGCAAGAGATTGAAAACTTATTTGAAAACATAATGAAGGAGAACTTCTCAAGAGAAACCTTACAGGCAAGAAGGGGCTGCAAAGAAGTATTCCCAGTCATGAAAGGCAAGGACCTACGTCCAAGATGACTCTATCCAGCAAAGCTATCATTTAGAATGAAAGGGCAGATGAAGTGCTTCCCAGATAAGGTCAAGTTAGAGGAGTTCATTGTCACAAAGCTCTTAAGTGAAATGTTAAAGGGACTTACCTAAGAAAAAGAAGATTCAAGACTATGAATAGTAAAATGACAATGAATTCACAACTATCAGCAACTAAACCTAGAAAATAAAAACTAAGCAAACAACTAGAACAGGAAGAGAATCACAGAAATGGAAATCACATGGAGGGGTTTCAGTGGGGAGAGGGAGGACGAAGAATTGGGGGGGGTGGAAGGTACAAAGAATAAGAAGCATAATTGGTAAGCACAAAATAGGCTGGCGGATGTTAAGAATAGTATAGGAAATGGAGAAACCAAATAACTTACATGTACAACCCATGGACCAGAACTAAGGGGGGCAGGGGGAAATGCTGGATGGAGGGGTGTGCAGAATGGAGGGGGATAAAGGGGAGAAAAAATGGAACAACTGTAACAGCATAATCAATAAAGTATATTTAAAAAAATACATAACATAAACATAGGATCTTGTATGGAGCCTGATTTTAACATATCAACTATTAAAAATATGAGACCATCTGAAAATTGTAAAACTAATTGTACGATATTAAAAAATTATTTTTATAGGTGTGATAAATTTTGGTGATGTTTTATAAAAGTCATAGTCTTCTAAGTATACATATTTAAATATGTATAGATGGAAACAGACACAGTCTCAGACAGTGTTCAAAAAATAAAATAAAAACAACCAAACATTGATGGAAGTATGTCAAAGGAGACAAGAGCTAAATGAAAGAGCTCCCAATGACAACAGTTGGAAAAAATTAAGAAGGAAAATAATGTCATGGTGAATTATTAACCAAGATATAAAA